AGTGATTGGCTGTGCAGGAAAGCATGTCAGCACATGTCTAATCATTGGAGGAGAGTACACTGAGTTCCCAGCACAGCCAGAAAACTGACCACACTGTGCTTGTCTGCCTAGTGTGGTCAGTTTTAATAGGAAAGCAGATCGACTGGCAGGAAAACCAGGAATTTCACACAAAGGAAGCAATACAAAGGGAACAGGACACTTTTTCATACAAGTACATGGTACAGCAGGCACATATCAGGAATATTAAATGTTGGTGTGACGATCCCACGATCGCTGCCACCAATATGTGACGCAGCTTCAGACCCCTGACCTTCTCACCAAACTCGTGACCGAAGGACTAGCCAATCTAAAACCACGATGTCACGTGCGTAACAATGCCACGCCCAGCTGCACCCTGCACAACGATTTTCCAGTTAATTGGACCACAAGCTATGCACCGGCAGCCTGGGAGCGATTGTTACTGGGTCAGGTTAATTACACAATTAACCCTTCATACTGCCACCACCTCCTTTTTGTACGAAGAAAGAGGAAACTCGGCGATATCAGCTATAACACATCACCCCCATACTTAAAAAGCCCTCCCTGGACCCCAATGACCCGAACAACCTCAGACCCATCTCCCTGCTCCCACTTACATCTAAACTCCTCGAGCGCCTCGTCTACACCCGCCTATGCTCTCACCTCAACGACAACAACCTCCTCGATCCCCTACAGTCTGGCTTCCGCCCCCTACACTCCACCGAAAACCGCCTTACTCAAACTCTCCAACGACCTTCTAACCGCCAAAGCTAATGGCCACTATTCAGTGCTCCTACTCCTTGACCTCTCTGCGGCCTTCGACACAGTTGACCACCCCCTCCTCCTCAAAATACTACACTCCCTCGGCCTCAGAGATTCTGCTCTCTCCTGGCTCTCATCCTACCTGTCACAATGCTCTTTCAGCGTTACCTATAATGCTACCACCTCCCCCCCTCACTCCCCCTCTCTGTTGGGGTCCCTCAAGGCTCTGTCCTTGGGCCCCTTCTCTTCTCCATCTACACCTCCTCCCTTGGCCAACTCATACACTCTCACGGCTTCAACTACCACCTCTATGCCGACGACACACAAATCTATCTCTCAACCCCCCACCTCACCCCCTCGGTCTCTGCCCAAATCACACACCTACTGAGCGACATATCAGAATGGATGTCGCTCCACTTCCTTAAACTGAATCTCTCCAAAACCGAGCTCCTTGTCTTCCCCCCAGCCCGAACCCCACCCCCCATTGACTTCTACATCACATCCAACAACGCCAATATCAAACCCGCTCTGCAGGCCAGAGTACTTGGTGTCATTCTGGACTCCAACCTATCCTTCCAGCCCCAAGTCCAATCTTTAACAAACTCGTGCAGACTCCACCTTCGCAACATCGCCAAAATCCGCACGTTCCTAACCCCAGAAACCACTAAACAGCTCATCCACTCCCTCATCATATCACGACTCGACTACTGCAACTCCCTCCTCACTGGCCTGCCTCGCCGCTGGCTATCCCCGCTTCAGTCGATCCTGAATACGGCTGCCAGACTCATTCACCTTTCCAAACGCTCCGTTTCCGCCACCCCCCTCTGCCAATCCTCCACTGGCTTCCGATTGCGCAACGGATCAAATTTAAAAATCCTAACACTGACGTACAAATCTGTCCACCATACTGCCCCGAACTACATCACTGACCTAATATCCAAGTACCACCCAGCACACACACTCCGCTCCTCACAAGACCTCCTTCTCTCTAGCTCCCTGGTCTCCTCCTCCCATGCCCGCCTCCAGGACTTCTCCAGGGTGTCACCCATCCTCTGGAACTCCCTGCCCCAACCCATCAGATTATCACCTACTCTCCTCTCCTTTAGGCGCACCCTGAAAACCCATCTCTTCAGGGAAGCCTACCTCACCCCCTGCTAACTTGCTGACCTCCTCCACTCTTCCTACCACTCCATCCCCCACAGCTATCTCCTCCTGTACCACTATCCCATCCCTTCTAGATTGTAAGCTCGAAAGAGCAGGGCCCTCGATCCCCTCATGTTTTGCATTGTATTGGTATTGTTCTGTCACATGTTCTGTCCCCCTTTGTAATGTACAGCGCTGAGTGAACTATTGGCGCTTTATAAATACTGTATAATAATAATATAATAATAACACTGTAATGGTTGAGATAATCTTCTGTATAACACAGTCACCGCAAGCTGGTTGTACAGATGGTTAAACAAACACAGTAGCGCTCTTTTAGAGGCAGGAATTCGTAAATTGCAATAAAGAACTATAGAAACAATTCAACACTTTCAGAAGGAAAGATTTATTACTAAAAGGTCAAAAGGGTGCAATAAAAACATTTACAGAAAAAAGATGTAACCAATACATATAAATATACAGAGAGCAACAGCACAGCAAAGAGATAACAGAGAGAAGTTAGAGGGTTAAAGTACTTGCCAAAGTCCTGGGTTAGCAGATCAAGTTTCAGAGCGAAAGGGCATGGATCTCCCAAGTTGGTTCTGATGTTAAACGGGAGAATTCTTCAACTCAACTTTCTTAGGCCTGACAACCCATTTTGTAGTTCCCCAGCAGGGGATGTCTTTTTTTTGTTAGAGTGGGGAATGACCAGAACAACTGACTTTTTTATTGTTGTCTGTGTCTCTGTTGGGAAGATTAAAGTGATATTAACTGCTTCCTGTCCTGTCCATAGCAGAAGTACTGTTACAGGGTGGCACTGGTGCACAAAATCACGTATATATACATATGTGCAGTGCGGTATATCGCATGTGATTTGCACAAGAACCGCACCGCATTCCTGTGCAAATCACATGTGATTTGTGTGCGATGCGATCAGAGCCATACATTTTGTATGGCTCTAATCATACCGCACCCACACCAAGAATGTGCAGGACCCTTTTTTTGGTCCACACTAGAATTGGATCGCATGGCTATGGGTATTCACACCTATGCGATCCAATTTTGCACTTCGTACTGCGTTTTGCGAACCACTTTCGGAGTATTGTTAACTTAACATACACACCCGCAACGGTTCGCATGAACGGGGTGCAATTGTGATGTGGTGCGGAATTCGCACAGAAAACGCTGTGAATTCCACACCACATCAGTGTGAACCAGGGCTAAATCTGATGTCAGTTTCCCAAGTACAGCTCAACTGATCAGGTCATCCCTGCGGCGGTTGGATGTCTGCATTCTGTATCACTTACAAGGATGCACCAATCATTTCTCTTGGGTGAAGCTTGTTGCTTTAAAATATAATTTAAGGTAAAGCTATTTCTCAAATTTTGGACAGAGTGGTGGGGGGATTAAAACCCCTGTCAGGCATATGTACTCAGTACTTGGTTTGGGCCCCTTTTGCAGCAATTACTGCCTCAATGCGGCGTGGCATGGAAGCTATCAGCCTGTGGCACTGCTGAGGTGTTATGGAAGACCAGGATGTTTCAATAGTGGCCTTCAACACTTCTGCATTGTTCGGTCTCATGTCTCTCATCTTTCTCTTGGCAATGCCCCATAGATTCTCTATGGGGTTCAGGTCAAGCGAGTTTGCTGGCCAATCAAGCACAGTAATCCCACAGTCATTGAACCAGGTTTTGGTGCTTTTGGCAGTGTGGGCAGGTGTCAAGTCCTGCTGAAAAATGAAGTCAGCATCCCCATAAAGCTCGTCTGCGGAAGGAAGCATGAAGTGCTCCAATATCTCCTGGTAGACGGCTGCCTTGACCCTGGACTTAATGAAGCACAGTGGACCAACACCAGCAGATGACATGGCTCCCCAAATCAACACAGACTGTGGAAACTTCACACTGGACTTCAAGCATCTTGCAGTGTGTGCCTCTCCATTTGTCTTCCATACTCTGGGTCCTTGGTTTCCAAATGAGATGCAAAAGTTGCTCTCATCAGAAAAGAGGACTTTAGACCACTGAGCAGCAGACCAGGTCTGTTTTTCTTTAGCCCAGGTAAGACGCTTCTGACGTTGTTTGTTGTTCAGGAACGACTTGACAAGAGGAATACAACATTTGAAGCTCATGTCCAGGATCCGTCTGTGTGTGGTGGCTCTTGACTCCAGCCTCAGTCCACACCTTGTGAAAGTCCCCAACACTTTTGAATGGCCTTTTCCTGACAATCCTCTCCAGGCTGCGGCCATCCCTGCTGCTTGTGCACCTTTTTCTTCCACACTTTTCCCTTCCACATAACTTTCTATTAATGTGCTTTGATACAGCTCTTTGGGAACATCCAACTTCTTTTGCAATCACCTTTTGAGGCTTTCCCTCCTTATGGAGGGTGTCAATGATGGTTTTCTGCACAACTGTCAGGTCAGCAGTCTTTCCTATGATTGTGATTCCTACTGAACCAGACTGAGAGACCATTTAAAGGCTCAGGAACCCTTTGCAGGTGTTATGGCTTAATTAGCTGATTAGAGTGGGACACTTTGAGCCAAGAATATTGCACCTTTTCACAATATTCTAATTTTCTGAGATTGTGGATTTGGGGTTTTCATGAGCTGTAAGCCATAATCATCACAATTATAACAAATCATGGCTTGAACTATCTTGCTTTGCATGTAATGAGTCTATCTCATATATTAGTTTCACCTTTTAAGTTGCATTACAGAAATAAATGAACTTTTGCACGATATTCTAATTTTTCGAGTTTCACCTGTATACATATATATATATATATATATACATACTGTATATGAAAATTCATTAGTCCTGATGTACTGACAGCCTCTAACTTCTTGTGGCCCTAAAATTTCAGGGCAGTACACATATCCACCAAATGACCCGTTTGGAAAGTAGACACTCTAAAGTATTTAGTAAGAGGCATGGCAAGTTTTTTAACCGCCTCCCGCCTGCCATATAGTACAATGACAGGTGCAAGGCGGTTCTCTCGTTCTGGGAGGACGTCACATGATGTCCTCCCATTCTAACCACGCATGCACGGCTCCGGTAGTGCGCAACGCGGCGATCGGTGGTGCGCTGTGTCCCTCGGACACAGTGGATCATTGATCAACAGAAAGAGCCGAAGATGTCGGCTCAGTCATGTGATCAGCTGTGTCCAATCACAGCTAATCACATGTAAACAGGGAAATGCCGGTTATCGGTATTTCTCTCCTCACGAGCTATCACGCTGACAGCTCGAGAGGAGAGCAGAGCCGGTAATCGGCATTCCTCGGAGGGGACATGTGCACTGATCATCAGGGCACTGATGATCAGTGTGCCCTGATTATTTGTGTAGCCCCAGCAGTGCCACCTGTCAGTGTCCATCAGTGCCAGCTGTCAGTGCTCATCCATGCCACGTGCCAGTGCCCATCAGTACCACATCAATGCCACATATCAGTGCCTATCAGTGCACATCAATGCCACATATCAGTGCCCATCTGAGCTGCCTTTCAGTGTCACCCATCAGTGCCAGTCAGTGCCACCTATCAATGCCAATCAGTGCTGCCAATCAGTGCCACCTATCAGTGCCAGTCAGTGCTGCCTATCATTGTGCATCAGTGCCGCCTATCAGTGACCGTCAGTGCTGCCTATCAGTGCCGCCTAACAGTGCCAGTAAGTGCCACCTAACAGTGCCAGTCAGTGCCACCTATCAGTGTCCATCACTGCAGCCTCATAAGTGCACATCAGTGAAGGAGAAAAATCACTTATTTACAAAATTTTATACAAAAACTAAGAAAAAACTTTTTTTTTTTCCAAATTTTCAGTGGTTTTTGGTTTGTTCAAGAAAAAATAAAAAACCCAGAGGTGATTAAATGCCACCAAAATAAAGCTCTATCTGTCACAAAAAAATGATAAAAATTTCATATGGGTACAGTGTTGCATGACCGCGCAATTGTCATTCAAAGTGTGACAGCGCTGAAAGCTGGAAATTGGCCTAGGCAGGGAGGGGGTATAAGTGCCCTTTAGGCTAGTGGTTAAAGTTGTAAATTATTGTCACCATTTTTGGAAAATGAAGAAATTAAATAAATTGATTTTTCACAGTTTTTTTTCAACATGTCATCACCAGTGCAGTAAACCCCCATCATATAACTGGTGTGGCGGTGATCAGGGACACTAACTGGTGACAGCATGTAAAAAAACAAGAAAACATTTTTAATATTTTTTTTTTCTTTTTTTTATTACATTTTTTTCTTTTTTTTCATGACGTTCTATGACAAAATGTCGCCAGAGCAATACAATGTTCCATGTGATCACTGTGACCAATCACATAGATCAATACAATAGTACACAATGGATTGCATGAATTAAAGCTATCCATTGTGTACAAATGTCATGTGATCTGCTGTGATTGGTCATGGCAGTCATATGGTAGCAGCAGCCAGAACATTGATTGGTCATCCGCTCTATCCAGTGGACGCAGCAGGGGACAGATCGCGCTGCACCGTGGCCCATTGGGTGCGTGCGAGGTGAGTTCCAGGGAGCATGTCATATGATGTCCACCCGGCAGTTTCCTGCTCGGCCGTAGGATTGCCGCTTCATCCTTTTAAAACCAAACACATATTAATTACACAGGTTCTGAGGCTATCCTAATGCAGATAAGGCATTAAGTGAGTTTAATTACCACCTTACCAGTCACAGAACCTGTGTGATTAACCACATGCCGCCCAGCCACCGCATATAAACGGTGGCAGGGCGGCGCTCGTAGGCAAAAGCACGTTTCGCAGCGCCGCCCAAGCTGCAGAGGGAGAATACAGTTTGTGACTCTCCCTTGATCAGCTCCCCCCTCCTCCCCCCTCCCCCGTCCAGCACACACCCCCGCCCCCTTAGTAAAACACTCCCCTCACACAGTGAACACTAAAAATGTTAACCCCTTCCTCCCCAGTGACATTAATACAGTTTCAGTGGTTTTTTTTCACTGATCACTGTATTGGTGTCACTGGGGATGTCAGTGACCCCAAGTCAGCTCCCCCCCAGTGTCAAAATGTCCGCCTCAGTCCCGCAGTCCCGCCATAAGTCGCTGGTCGCCGTCATATGTCGCTGATTGCCGCCATATGTCGCTGATCGGCGCCATTATTAGTATAAATAAAAATTAAAAAAAATCCCAGTATCTTTCCCGCCATTTGTAAACGCTATAACTTTCACGTAAACCAATTAATTTACACGTATTGGGTTTTTTTTTTTAGCAAAGACATGTCGCAGAATGCATTTTGGCAGAAATTTATGACTAAATTTGATTTTTGCATTTTTTTTTTTACTGGACATGTTTTATAGCAAAAAGTCCAAAATATTGTTTTTTTTTCCTCAAAATTGTCAGCCTTTTTTTTTATAGCGCAAAAAATAAAAACCGCACAGGCGATCAAATACCACCGAAAGAAAGCTGAATTTGTGGGGAAAAAAAGGATGTAAATTTCATTTATGTACCGTATTGCATGACTGCGCAATTGTCCGTTAAACTAGCGCAGCGCTGTATAGCAGAAAAATGGCGTAAATTGCAGTATCTATACCATAGTTTGTAGACGTTATAACTTCACACAAAGCAATCAATATACACTTATTGGGATTTTTTTTACCAAAAACATGGAGCAGAATACATTTTGGCCTAAATTTATAACTAACTTTGAGTTTACTGTATATTTTTTATAGCTGAAAGTAAAAAATATTGTTTTTCTTCAAAATTTTTGGCCTTTTTTTGTTTATAGCGTGAAAAATAAAAAGCGCACAGGTGATCAAATACCACCAAAAGAAAGCTCTATTTGTGTAAAAAAAAGGACGTAAATTTTGTTTGGGTGCAGCATTGCATGACCGCGCAATTATCAGTTGAATTAGTGCAGCGCCGAGTAGCAAAAAGAGGCCTGGTCATTAAGGGGGGTAAATCCTCTGGAGCTCAAGTGGTTAATATGTGTCTGGTTTTAAAGGAATGAGGTGGCAACCCTACCTGGCCGTTGTTTGTCTATAGGCCGGGCAGGAACTGGTTAAACAGCATTTTGTTATCATCTAAAGTTCCTTTTACAGTACATGAAGATGAAGGATGGTACTTTTTCATGGTTGCAGAGAAAGGCAGGGACAATAATGCATGGAAAGACATTATTACTTAAAAAAGTACAAACATAATGTGATCCCCAATAACAAAGTCAGTTCTTGGGAAAATGGGAAACCATTTCCAATAAATGCCCATTTGGTTATGTATGGGTCTGCTGCCCTCTGCTGCCTGTATTTGTAAATAGCTGTTGTTAGTAATTACCACAGAGTTAGTTGGTTATAGACCGTTACTTCCTCTCCCTGCTAACTAGGTGAAAAATCCTGATTGGAGGTCTGTGATATTATATGGGGTGTCTAGAGGAACTAGACACAGAATTGGACTACCTGACCATCTATGTAGGAGCTGCTGTGTTTTATCCAAAAGCAGAGACTATTAGACAACTGTTCCTATGTTAATGGTTTACTATTGTCATCCACAGCTTTTAGTTTTTTTCAGGTATTGACCAAAACATTCAAGCTATAGTTATATAATGGATATGGGCTGAAAGTGCACACTCTCAGGTTTAATTCGAGGGTATGTACATCCAAATTGGAGGAAAGGTTTAGGAATTACAGCTCTCACAGCTCAAAAGTAATTGGACAAATGAAAATAATCACAAATAAAATGTTCATTTTTAATATTTTGTTGAGAATCCTTTACTGACAATGACTGCCTAAAGTCTGGAACCCCTGGACATTAGCAAAGACTGGGCTTCCTCCTTTCTGATGCTTTGCCGGGCTCTAACTGCAGCTGTCTTCAGTTGTTCTTTGTTTGTGGGTCTTTCTGCCTTTAGTTTTGCCTTCAGCAAGTGAAATGCATACTCATTGGGTTGAGATCAGGTGATTGATTTGGACATTGCAGAATATTTCACTTCTTTTCCTTCAAAAGCTCCTGGGTTGCTTTTGCAGTGTGGATCATTGTCCATCTGTACTGGATCAATCAACTTTGCTGCATTTGGCTGAATCTGTGCTGACAGTATATCTCTAAACATTGCAGAATTCATCCACCTGCTTCTGTCACATCATCAGTAAACACCAATGACCCAGTGCCACTGGAAGCCATGCATGCCCATGCCAACACACTGCCTCCACCATGTTTTACAGATGATGTTGTGTGCTTTGGATCATAAGCTGTTCCAAGCCTCCTCCAAACTTTGTTCTTCCCTTCATTCTGGTACAGATTAATCTTAGTTTCATCCATCCAAAGAATGCTTTTCCAGAACTGATCTGGCTTTTTTAGATGTTTTTTGGCAAATTCTAATCTGGCTTTTCTATTCTTCAGGCTTATGAATAGTTTGCACCTTGTGGTGAACCCTCTGTATTTGCTCTCATGAAGTCTTCTCTTGATTGTAGACTTTGACAATAATATGCCCACCTCCTGGAGAGTGTCCTTCACTTGTCTGGATGTTGTGAATGGGTTTTCTTTACCATAGAGAGGATCCTGCGAACATCCACCACTGTTGTGGACATCCATGCCTTTTTATGTTTCTGAGCTCACCCGTGCGTTCTTCTTTTCTCAGAATGTAACTGTTGATTTGGCCACTCCTAATGTTGCTGCTATCTCTCTGACGGATTTGTTTCGTTTTTGAAGCCTTACAATGGCCTGTTTCACTTGCATGGACAGCTCCTTTGAACACATGATGTAGGTTCACAGCAATAGATTCCAAATGCAAATACCACACTTAGAATCAAATCCAGACCTTTTACCTGCTTAATTGATGAAAAAATACGAAATAGCCCACACCTGGCCATGAAACAGCTGTTGATTCAATTGTCCAATTACTTGTGGTCCCTTGAAAAAGGGGGATGGCTACTCTTAAGAGCTGTAATTCCTAAACCCTTCCTCCAATTTGGATGTACATACCCTCAAATTAAACCTGAGAGTGTGCACTTTCAGCCCATATCTATTATATTACTATAGCTTGAATATGTTTTGGTAAATACCTGAAAAAAAAAAACTAAAATTGTGCCTCTGTCCAAATATATATGGACCTAACTGTGTGTGTATATATATATATATATATATATATATATATATATATATATATATATATATACATACTATATATACATACTGTATACAGCAAATCTACAGACTGGTGACAGAAGTATACGTATCTGTTCCCTTGTTGATAACTTATAGGCATTATATCAGATGACAAAGTCTGTAATATGGGGGGGGGGGGGGGGGGGGGGGTGTAGTGGTCACCTTGCTGCATGTTAGTAAGTGAACCTGTTTATTGCAATCGTTTTGTTATTTGCAGCTCTTGTTATTTTAGTTAACCCTGTCCCTTCTGGTCTGTAATTCTATAGCTAGTTTTAGCTCAGGACTCAGTAATCAGCATAGGCTAGAGTCAGGTTAGGCATCCAACGGCCACTTGGTAGTTTAGAGGTTCAGTTACAGTACACAACAGACTAGAAGCTTGTCATATACCTGGTTGGAAGCCGAAGTGATGAGAGGGCTTCCCTTGCACCTAAGCACCTAGCACTCCTGGAGGTGGTGACAGGGAATGCAGGGATCAAAGAAGCGCAGGTTGTCTGCTGGAGTGTGCTTGTGGAGATGTCTGGTTGGAAGGTAGCTGCACAGAGTGTCACTTGAAGCACTGGAACCCCCAGAGGGGAGATGGCCAAAAAAACAATGGGGTAATAACCCCGCTGCTATCGCTGCTCCCCAGATGCAACAGAGGATAGGTGATACCCGTGGCAGGCAGGAGTTCAAAAAAGAACTGAAGTGGCATAGTCAGGATCAGAGTCAGTCATGCATAGAGAATCAAGCAGAGGACGAGGCAAGAGCGTAGTCAAGACTAAACCGAGGTCATGCACAAGTCAGAGTTATACATGGGCATTCAGAAGAGCTGGAATCCATAAGAGAAAGCTGAGGTCGGAACCAGGAATCAGGCAGAAGACAGGTACAGAACAGGTACAGAAGTAAGCCAGGTTGTTACACAGGAAACACAGGAGCAAGGAGCACTGGAGAGCTGATGATCAATCAGCAATCTCCAAATGCTGCTGTTGTCCTTAAACTGGGCGTTTGGGAGCCTATCCTTAATTAACAGTGTGGGCAGGCATGTGCATCCCTGTGTCTGCACACACGTGCCGGTGCATTCCTGCCACACCTGCACTAATTCCTGCGCAAATGAACATGGCCATGCAGGGTACTGGCAACAGTACCACATCTTTTTGCAGAGCATGCTCACCTTTTATCAGGATAGTGCCCTGACAAACCTACTTCAGCCACGTACTTGGCACTGTTTTTTACAGCTGGTGATTGGCTGTCATATAAAAGTGATTCAGGTGGTTGTACAGCCACCCGATCACTTACAGGAAGGGCAGTTTGTAACTTTTGGTTTTAGAGCTGTCAGCTTGATCAGCTGCTATGGAGGTAGGGGAGACTAATAGAGCCCTGCTGTCTCAGTAAAGAGTATCTGTCACTGCCTAAAGCTAACACATAGGGGGCTCGTTAGCAAAAAAAAATAGCTATTTAGCAATACAGTTAAATGAAAAAAAAAAATAAAAAGTGTAAAAAAAAAATAAATTTCAATAAAATAAATAAAAATAGTAAAAAAAAAAAAAAAAAGTAATAGCACTCCTACCCCTCCCCATGCATACACACAAATGCTTAAAGTGCTACTAAACTCACAACAGTAAAATCAGTCTGTATATGCAGTAAAGCATGCTTGTTATATTCACTGTGGAGCCTAAGAGGTATTCCTCTGCATTGTGTAAAAATGCTGTTTGATCCTGTCCTCTCTGACCCTCCCCTTCTTCCAGTGTCCCCCCTTATCTCCCGATAAGACATATCGTGTGGAGACACTCTGCACATGCTCAGTTTGGTGTGTATTGCTAGAAAGGTTTTCTGTTTTCTTGGGAGAGTGCATGTGATCAGCACAGGGCCAATTAGCACTGTCCAGACAGAGGTCAGGGGTTCTGCATCCTCCCAGAGCAGAATGAAAACTCCTACAAGCTTTAACCAGTGCTCTGCTGAACACTGATAGAAGTCACAAGACTGCTCTAACCGCTGATGAGAAAAAGGTATTTACCAGTTTATATTTTCTAAATTAATAGCATTTCCATGTTCTGAGTACTGTGGAAGATCAGGTATAGTGAATGCAGGGTTCTGGGTTTAGTAACTCTTTAAGGACCATAGTTTTTCACCATTTCTCAGTTGCATGAAATTATGAGTCTTGGCATATCTGGTATCTATTTACTTGACATGACCTCATCTTTTATACTGTACCTACAAAAATGGCTATTACTTTGTATATTGAGTTTGTGTGCATTAAAATGTATTTTAACCAATTTTTTCTGAAAATATGCATTTGATGGCCTGAGGGTAATGTTCTAGCAAACAAATCTTATTTTAACATGTGTGTGAAAAAATTGCCCTGGACAGCAAGTGGTTAAAGTAAACCTGTCAGGAGAAGAACATGGAGGCTGCCATTTCTGACCTTTTCAAACTGCTAGCTGCCTGGCTGTCAATTTGAGCCTCCTGCTTCAGGACTTTGACATATATACCTGGATCAAGTATGCAGATGAGCACTTCTGATGTTTCTGTTCTGGGTCAATGACCACCAAATCACTTAGTGTTTTCAGATACCTTTTGCCTTCTAGAGCCACGTTGTGATTCATGACTTTCTACAAGAACGTACTTTGTCACACTTAATTGATGCTGCAAACATATACAACCCCCTCCATTGAAGAACCAGCACCCCCCCCCCCCTCCACAAATATTTTGGAATGAAAGCTTAGAGTAAACTTATTTTCACAAACAGAGAAGGCTAGAACCATCTCCTTTGATAAGGCAGGTCAGTACAGACACATTTGAACTTGGAGTCATTATAGACAGTCCATTATTAATTCATTTGGCATTTCTATGAATTTTCCGCAAAAAGGAACGGACCCTGAGAACTATACCCTGAAATACTTCATCAGACTACCCTACATCTCCTTTTTGCTTTCCCTCCCCCATATCATCCTGCAAAATCATGTTATTGTTATTAGATATATTATGGTTGCTAACTATATTTCTTGTACAGTAGTAATACACTGATATTGATATTTGGTGTAAATTTGATGTTTATGTCTTGATAAATAACACCATTAAAAAAAATGGCACCTCTGTATTTCTATGCATTCTACCATTAGCCCTGCTCTTGTTACCTTATTGACATTTTGTATATAGTTGTATACAGTTCAGTCCCTTTAACACCGATGGTCTGATCGGGTATGCCCGTCAGTTTTTCGGGCGCACCTGATTGGACCATCCATAGACCAGCGGGTGTCAGTGGACAGGTGTCCGCTGACACCCTCTGGCATCCGATCCGATCCTGTACACAAAAAACAGACAGATGGGAATCAGTTCCCCATCTGTCTGGCGGATCTGTTCAGATGACAGTCAGGTGGAAATGGACAATTGGTCCATTTCCATCCGACCGTGGACTGTGTCTGTGTCCGCTCTCCAGAGATCAGTGGAGAGATCCCCCCTATGAGCAATGCGGATCCGCTGATGGGCCCGCCATGTCTGAAAAGGGGCTTCTACTTGCTTGTTTATATGAGTCTTGTGCTTGTTTGTTTTATTTTCCTCCGCGAATTTCCACTTGCTTGTTCAGCATTTGTTTTACAGATGTTTGATTCTACACCTTTTCACAGTGAACACTCATATTGCACATACACCAGAGTCTGGGCATCTTATTGCTCTTTACAAATTGTGTCCTTCCAGTTGTTACTGGATCCCAGCTCGAGTTTCTTAACAATAAGTCACGGACCATGAAAAAGTATTGCATATCTGGGGAATCAGAGTAAAGTTAGAAGTCTTCAGCTGAATCTTAATTCTGTGTTTGTGACTAATGCCTGGTACACATGATGAGAAAATCGGACCAAAAATAAACACATTCAGAGCGATCGGCTGATAATTGAAAGCCGATCACGACAGTACATGCAAAACTTCCAAAGGAACAAGCACAAAAACATTTCTCCTAGGATGACAGAACAACCGATTTTCATGTAATTATTATAGTATTTGTACAGATAAAATCAAGTGACTAAGACCACGCATGCTCAGAAACGAATGAATAAATTAAAATACAATAAAATACATTACATAATTTTTGAAGTTGTATTCTGTCTTATGAGAGTTTTCGTAACTTTACTAACCTATTAATTTGCAATATGAGAATAGCAAGCAAAAAAACCCAGACAATTGTTCGTGCAATATGCTCATCATATGTACTAGGCATATGGCAGGCCATAAATGGATCAGTTTTTCTCATTCAACCATGTGGATGGGGAACCTCCCTGCTGAACTGTATTCTGACAGCATAGAGACTTCCCTGCCATAACAATACACTGATCAGCGTTGCAGGTTATAGCCTGCAGCACTGATCCGAGCGTGGAAAATCTGAGCGGGCGGTTGTACAGGCATAGATTGACTTCTGTACAACCACAGGGCCATACATGGATCGAAATTTGGCCGATCATTGCTGAACCAGCCAAATTTCAATCCATGTATGAATGGTTTTAAAGGCTAAGTTCACTTTTTTCTTCTTAATTCCAGCTCCCCTATGTACCAATATACCATTAATGTTCCTCTGTTGCAGAAAAATAAATCCTTTTTTTATTTTGAGAACAAGGCCTAACCTTGGCCCTTGATGTTTTTCTTAGAAAGCTTCGTCATTTGAGGGTATATAGTATATAGGACAGAGAAACCAGTAAGACACAGGAAAGAATTTACGAGCTGACCTCATTAACACACACATCCTGCACTGACCTCATTATAACAAACAACCTTCTCCCATCACCTATTTTTTCACAGCATCCAGGTCATCTCTCCATGTGTGCATTTGCCTGGCTTCCCCAGTCTTTCAGACAGGTTCAGGTCACATGCTCAACTCTCTGGGGATGAATGCAGCTCACAGGACACCCCTGATGTATTGCAAGGGCCTGCCTGATTGGATACAGAGTAATTGGATAGATGGTGTGTCTTCCTATTATATAGTTTTTGTAAATCTAAAGGAGATTGTACACAGATTGTACTAACAGATTGTGTAGAGTATAGCCACATTTATACACCTAAAATTATCTAGTTGCACTTTCAGTGTCATTAATTGGTAATGACACACCAAACACAGAAGCAAACACAAATTTGGCGCAAGAAAACATGGGAGACTAATGCAGCAAACTGCTCAGTAAAAACATGCAATTCGCACCACACCAAAATAACTCATGAGCTTTGGCAAGCAGCACAGTGGCTAAATGGTTAGCACTTCTGCCTAGAAGTACTAGGGTCGTTGGTTCGAATCCCAACCACGGCACCACCTGCCTGGAGTTTGCACGTTCTCCCTGTGCCTGCGTGGGTTTCCTCCGGGTACTCCGGTTTCCTCCCACACTCCAAAGACATGCTGGTAGGTTAATTGGCTCCTGTCTAAAATTGGCTCTTGTATGTATGAATGTGAGCTAGGGACCTTAGATTGTACACCCCTTGAGGGTTAGGGACTGATGTGAATGTACAATATATATGTAAAGCACTGTGTAAATTGATGGTGCTATATAAGTACCTGAAATAAATAAATTTTGCCATGTGTAGCGCAGCCCATTGAAATAAATGGGCTGCCCTATGTGTGTCACTAGAAAATGAGCCACAAAACATGCGCTCCTACTGCACTAGATGTGAATGGGGCCTGAAAGTGAAATTGGTTTGTTTACCCAAGAACAATGAGGATCCATTCACATCTGTGTGTTTCTTGATGCATGGCAAACTGCACAGAAAATGCATGCTATGCCATGCGTTTCTGTTGTCATTATATGTTAAAGGCACCACAAGCACCATGCTCAGCTCCAAAAAAAGTTCTGGAGCTTCTCTGGGGCAATTGTTGCATGTGGGGCAGCCCATTTAACTGAATAGGTTGCCCTATGTGTGACTAATGAAAATGCTCCTAAACACCCAAGCAAACGCATGTGGGAATGTGAGTTTTCGCTACGTGGAGATGTTAACGGACCCTGACAACTGAGTGTCTCCATCAATTCCCTCCTATGTACTTGTATAAAGATGGCCATACACTATGCAATCTGAATGTACAATCTCTGTACATTATCCCTTAGATTTACCAAAACATTGAAATAGGAGGACACACCTGAACAATCTATTCAATTTGTATCAAATCAGAGAGGCCCTTGTACTTCACAACTGATGGATGATCTAATGGAAATTGTAAAGAAAGTGGGTAGAAGGTAGCTCTGTAATGAGGAAGGTATGTTCCAGAGTGGTTATCACACCCTATCAAACTCTCTTCTGTGAGGCAACAAGGAAGTGAAGGCTTTTGGGAGATGGCCTACAGGAAGTGAATGCTGAGAGATGATCTAGAGGAAATGATGGAATCTGAAAGTCATTTCAAAAATTCAATCAAATTGACAAGATTTTAAACCTCCTGTGGATAAGGTGTGAAAGAAAAGCACATTGGGATGGCTGGGCCAGAAATGGAATTGGAAAAAAGCTTCTATTTATTATGAAAAGTGAAATTCTGCCTGAAAAGGTGAACTTATCCTTTAAAGTAAAGAAGCAACAGACTAAGCATGGCAGCCAGAAAAGTAACATCAAGATCAATAACACAACCATCAACCCATCCCCACATGCCAGGGTGCTAGGTGTAATCCTGGACTCTGAACTCTCCTTTTGGCCCCACATCCAGTCACTGTCTAAAGCTGCCGCCTCAACCTCCACAACATCTACAAAATACACCCCTTCCTAACCAATGATACCAAAAAGCTTCTAAATTCACTCTGGTCATCTCTCGAAACAAATACTGCAACTCTCTCCTCATTAGATTACTTTTACATAGGCTATCCCCCCTTCAGTCCATCATGAATGTTGCTGACTCCACCTTACCAACTGTTTAGGGTCTGCTACTACTCTCTGCAAATCCCTTCTTTGGCTTCCACTCACCCAACAAAATTAATTCAAAATACTAACAACTTACAAAGCCATCCACAACTTGGCCCCCAGCTACATCACTAGTCTCAAAATACCAATCAAATCATTTTCTTTGTTCCTCCCAAGACCTCCTGCTCTCTAGCACCCTTGTCACCTCCTCCCATGCTTGCCTCCAGGACTTTTCTGAGCCTCTCTCATCGTATGGAACTCCCTACCCCAATCTGTCCGTCTATCTCCTTCTCTCTGCCCACTTTTAGGTGATCCCTGAAAACCCTTCTCTCCAGAGAAGCCTATCCTGTCTCCATCTAACAACTGTATTTCCACTTTCTCCATCAACTCATCCCCCACAGTTATTACCATTTGAATCACTTGACCCTCTCTTTTAGATCATAAGTTTTAACAAGCAGGGTCCTCTGATTCCTCCTGTATTGATCTGTATTGTACTTGTACTGTCTGCCCTCATATTGTAAAGCGCTGTGAAAACTGTTGGTGCTATATATCCTTTATTATAATAATATATAAAACCATGTGTATAGAGTTAGGGAGGAGATTCAAGATACACTATATTGTCAAAAGTATTGGGACACCCCTCCGAATCATTGGATTCAGGTGTTCCCATCACCTCCATGGCCACAGGTGTATAAAGTCAAGCACCTAGGCATGCAGACTGCTTCTACAAACATTTGTGAAATAATGGGTTACTCTCAGGAGCTCAGTGAATTCAAGAGTGGTACCGTGATAGATTGCTACCTGTGCAGTAAGTCCATCCGTGAAATTTCCTTGCTACTAAATATTCCACATTCAACTGTTAGTGGTATTATAACACAGTGGAAGCAACTGGGAACAGCAACTCAGCCACAAAGTGGTAGGCCACGTAAAATGACAGAGTGGGGTCAGTGCATACTGAAGCACACAGTGAACAGCAGTCGCCATCTGTCTGCAGAGTCAATAGCTAAAGACCTCCAAACATCGTGTAGCCTTCAGATTAGCACAACAACAGTGCACAGAGAGCTTTATGGAATGTGTTTCCATGGCTGAGCAACTGCATTCAAGCCTTACATTATTATTATTATTATACAGTATTTATAAAACGCCAACAGTTCGCTCAGCGCTGTACATTACAAAGGGGACCGAACAAGTAACAAACAGTACAGTAACAATACAACACAATACAATGCGATACACAAGGTGTTCGAGGGCCCTGCTCTTTCGAGCTTACAATCTAGGAGGGAGGGGAAAGTGGTACAGGAGGAGATAGCTGTGGGGGATGTAGTGGTACATCACCAAGTGCAATGCAAAGCATCAGATGCAGTGGTGTAAAGCACGCCGCCACTGGACTCTAAAGCAGTGGAGACGTGTTCTCTGCAGTGACGAATCGCGCTTCTCTGTCTGGCAATCCGATGGACGTGTCTGGGTTTGGCAGTTGCCAGGAGAACGGTACTTGCCTGACTGCACTGTGCCAAGTGTATGCGTTAAGAACATTTCAACTCTACATGAGAACAGGTGACCACCCCTCTTTCCTTCAAAATATTTTAAAATCTTGCTGCCATTTTCATTTTTTCCCAGTGCTGATCCAGAAGCATATATTGCTCTATGAAGAGCTTGATCAATGATCTCCTGATTTTCAAGTGTCATTTTCTGTATAAATGAGGGGATTGCGTATTTTTGGGAGGCCGTGGTTTGTAATACTTCCTTACCTGAAGATGCTGCTAGTGAAGAAACACTTTGTGATGATCCAGAAGCAGCAGAAAGTGTTTCTGGAATGAGAACTCTGGAGGGAAAAGCTACTTGAACTTTCATTCTGGTCCTTATTTCATAAAGTATTTTAATTTCTTTAGGGCACCTCTGGCATGAAAGGATGTGTTCTGTCATCCTTGCAGCATTTGGAAAAGAATATTTCTTCTCACAATATTTGCAAATTTCAGCTTTGTTCTCAGCAGAAATTGCATTGTGGAAATGTTTCCAAACTCTAAATGTTGGTCTCACATTTTACTGAGGAAAAGAAATAAATCAATTTACTGAGCAAACTATAGGCAAACATTTTACCAGCCTTTCTCAACCTTTTTTTTAGACAGAGAAACCCTTGAAATACGTTTTGGTATCAGGGAACCCCTTCTAAAGATTACTATATCTACCATCCATGATACATTAGTGTGATGGTCATTGTGAAGAATTACCCTCTTACAGATAGCTAAAAAGATCAATGGTGTCAGTGGGAATTCATCTGAGAGGCAGACTGTGATCAAGGAACCCCTAGCAACCTCTGGAGAAACTTTAGAATTTCATGGAACCCTGGTTGAGAAAGCCTGCATTATGCTGTGATGGTAGAGAACATTAATTAGAATAATGTAAAGGTTAAATAGGACAAACTAATTGGTCAGACAAATTTACCCTCTCACCTGTCAATTAAGGCCTGAGAGAACAGAAAAATGTCATCTACTGTATCCCAATAATCTCCCAACTGTAGAAGGTAAAGGATGGAGCCCACAAGCAAACTAAACTGGAGCTTGTTCCCCTCCAGTGCCCCCTAGTGGCAGAAATGCAGATTTCTCTTGTTTGAGAACTGCATTGAGAAATATAGTGTTACCTGAATTGTATTCCAGGATTTGCTTGTCTTCAGCTAACAAAACTTGCAATGATTTATGACTTTACATAAAGTCTCAGATATCTGTTACTAAACCCTGGATCCTGCATTCACTATATCTGGTCTCTTACAGTACACAGAACATGCAATTATTTTAGTAAATACAAACTACTAAATATCATTTCTCATCAGCAGTTAGAGCAGTTTTGTGACTTCTATCATTGTGAAGCCAAGCACATGTTAAAGCTTGTAGGAGGAGTTTTCATTTTGCTCTAGGAGGACGCAGGACCCCTGACTTCTGTCTGGACAGTGCTGATTGACCCCGTGCTGATTGACCCTGTGCTGATCACATGCACTCTTCCAAGAAAAAAAAAAAAAACCTCTCTAGCAATACACACCAAACTGAGCATGTTAAGAGTGACTCCACATGATATGTCTTAGCAGGATATAAGAGGGGGACACTGGAAGAAGGGGAAAATCAGAGAAGTCAGGATCAAACAACATTTTTACACAATGCAGAGGATTGACCCCTTAAGTTCCATGTTGAGTATAACCAGCATGCATTACTGCATATACAGACTGATTTTACTGTTGTAGGTTTAGTAACACTTTAAGTTCTTCATATTATATAGTTTGAATACCATTTTAAAGATATATTATATTTGTCATTGTAAAGGAACATATTCCACACTCCGTTTTGCTTCAATGTTTCTTCAGAAAAACAAACAAAACAAAAAACGGCTTTAAAAAAAACAGAAAGAAAAAGTTTTTTCCCCAGTTTTTCAGGTTTTTTCCCCCAGGCCTTCCCATCTCTAGTACTGACTGCTCATTCACTTCTATGGCTGACACCTTGGCATGGTGGCCACCTACTGATATCTATGGTGTCCATTTATGAAAGAGAGAAAAGCTGAGACCATGGTGATCTCGGATGTGAGGAAAAAGGCTTCTTTCTTCCTATCAGTGAGGTTAAAAACTAATATAAATAATAACCATATATGTTTATATATACAGTATATAGTTATACTGCACACGTGCACATCTGGGCAATGCAGAATTGTGCGCAGAATTGGGCAATTCTGGCCCAGATTCTGAACTGCGCTAAAATCATGTCAATGTATGCAGTGCGTTTTTGGGTGTCATTGTTAATGGCACTCTAAATGTGGTTAGCAGACATGCATTTTGCCGGACACTTTCTCATTTGACAAATGCACCGCAAAGGCTCAAAAATGCACATTAAAAAAACTGCACATTGCTCCATGCCAAAAAACATTCATTTTGACCTTTTTTATATGCATTTTGGTGCAGTTTTACTGCATATTTTGTTGCTTTTTTCAACACACATTCTCGTGTGATTTTTACAATGCATTTTAGCAAACTTTTCATGTGCAATTTGGTGTTTTGTTAATGTGTATTCTTGTTCATTTTTTTTACCAGCATTTTTTGGTGCATTTCAGAAACGCATGTACAATGTGTGTCATGCTTGTAGTGCCATTAAAGTGGAGGTCCAGTTGAAAAAAAAAATAAAAGTCAGCAGCTACAAAAACAGACACTCACCTGTCCCTCAAGCAATCCTGTGGTGTCCTCACACACTGGTTGGGTTCACTGGCTGTCCTGTGTCCCTGGCATCTTCAATGTGGGCACACGGCTGTGACAGCTTGCAGCTTCACAGCTGGGTCCCCACTGCGCATGTGCGAGTACCGCTGCGCTATGTGAATGGTCTTGTAGTCTTCTGGGACCTGTCACATGTACCAGAAGACTACAGGGAGTGAGGGGGAAAGGACAACTTCAGCTTCTGATCGCCTAGGCAATCACAGCAGAAGTAGGAGCAGCTACCTGTCAAATTCAGGTACCCCTCTCCCCCTCACTCCCCAAAGGTACCAATACATAACGGGGAACGAAGTCTTAAAGCGGAAACTTCCCCTTTTGGGTGGAGCTCCGCTTTAATTGTTCATGGCACCCCAAAAGTGGCTAGCAGATGTAAGTGTTACCAAAATGTGAATAAAAACCAAATTAAAATGCATGTTAAAAAGAATCAAAGTACGTGTTAAAAGAAGCGCCAAAACGTGCCTTACAAACCACACCAAAATGCATATTAAAAAAACCTATGTCAAAATAAGTGTTAAAGCACCAAAAGGTGTTTATAAAAGCACAAAAATGTACATTTTAAAAACTACGACATAATGTGCATTTAAAAAATGCACAATAAAAAAAAAAGTACCAAAATACACATTTAACCACTAGCCTACAAGGCACTTATACCCCCTTCCTGCCCAGGCCAATTTCCAGCTCTCAGCGCTGTCACACTTTGAATGACAATTGCGCGGTCATGCAACACTGTACCCATATGAAATTATTATCATTTTTTTTTGTGACAGATAGAGCTTTATTTTGGTGGTATTTAATCACCTCTGGGTTTTTTATTTTTTCTTAAACAAACCAAAAACCACTGAAAATTTTTTTTAAAAAAGTTTTTTCTTAGTTTTTGTTATAACATTTTGTAAATAAGTGACTTTTCTCCTTCACTGATGTACGCTAATGAGGCTGTAGTGATGGGCACTGATAAGATGCACTGATGGACACTGATAGGTGGCACTGATGAGGAGGCACTGGTAGCTGGCACTGATGGGCAGCATTGACAAGCATCACTGATGGGCACTGAAAGGCAGCACTGATATATAGCACTAATATATAGCACTGATTGGCGGTACTGATGCGCACTAATAGGCAGCACTGACTGGCACTGATAGGTGGCACTGATTAGCAGCACTGATAGATGGCACTGATTGGCATTGATAGGTGGCACTGATGGCTGACACTGAAGGGCAGCTCAGATAGGCACTGATTTGTGGCATTGATGTGATAGGCACTGATATGTGGCATTGTGGCACTGATGGGCACTGGCACGTGGCACTGTTCAGCTGGCACTGATGGACTCTGACAGGTGGCACTTCTGGGGCCACACTGATCATCAGTGTACATGTCCCCTCCGTGGAAAGCCGATTACCGGCTCTCCTCTCCTCACGAGCTGTCAATGTGACAGCTCGAGAGGAGAGAAATGCCGATAACCGGCATTTCCCTGTTTACATGTGATCAGCTGTGATTGGACACAGCTGATCACATGACCGAGTTGACATCTTAGGCTCTTTCCGTGGATCGGTGATCTGCTGTGTCTGAGGTACACAGAGCACAGCCGATCGCCGCACGCTCCCTGAGCCGCGCCTGCGCGGTGAGAATGGCAGGACGCCATATGACATCCTATTAGAACGAGAGAACCACCTTGCTCCCGTCATTGGACTATATGGTGGGCGGGAGGTGGTTAAAGAAAGTGCCAAAATGTGCGGTAAAAAAAACCCTGCAATAACCAGTTTCAGACTCTGGAGGTGTTATACACACCCAAAAATGTGTCAGCATTGGACATAGGGCGTGTTTAACACTTCCAGTCTTGCCCTGCTGCCAGGACCTCCCCCTATCCCAGTACTGTACTATGCAATTCTGCTCTGATAATTCAGAGGCATTGCCAAGTACACAGAGAAGAAACTAAAATGTTTACCAACAACATTCCTCAAAAGAAACAATGTTTTAGTTTGTATCTGTTTACTCATCTACAGATCAAAGGGATACACTTCTGTAGATGAAGTCAGTTAAAGCAACCTGACAAGTAGAAAGTAAAAAAAGTTGTTTTTTAATTAAATATTCCTCTGTTTGATCCCTTATTAATAACCCTTAGTTTCCTCTAACCAATCCTAATTAACTCCTTAGTCTCCTCCATTCAATTATTCTTTTCCTGCTGATTTTTTTAGTTTATATTTTATTAACTAATAATATTTAAACTTTTTTTTGTTTTTGTTTGTTTTGTTCATTAATATTTTTGACACCTTTATCATATATCTACAAATTTCACATAAAAAAACAAACAAAAAAAAAATGCAAAACAGAAAAAAAAACACTTTATTTCATTTGTAAATAACTTTGTACCAGAATCATAATTTTAGTGTCATTTTAAAATAGGACAAATTACAGAATAAAATGCACACTTTGTATGTGCAGTAACACTACATTTAAACTAACACCCCCCCCCCCAATGATACCAATGATGGGTCATGATTTCTCCCAATGATACCAATGATGAGGCACAGTTCCTGCCTATGACACCAGCAGTGGGGCCCAATGACACCAATAATGGGGCACAATTCCTCCCAATGACATCTACAATGGGGCATGATTCCTCCCACTGACACCAAACATGGGCATTGTATACTCTTAGTGATGCCAGCATATTTTCTACTCCCAATGGCTACAGTCCGGTCCCTCTAAAGTCTGAAGGACAGTAAACTGGCCCTTTGTTCAGAAAGTATGGAGACCCTTAGCCTAGAAGATCAGAAGTGGAGGTTGTCCTCTCTCCCTCCCCATAGTCTTCTGGGACACATGATTCACAAGGTGCAGTGCTACTCGTGCATATGCAGTGGGCACCTGGCTGTGGCAATTTGCAAGTGCCTACACTTAAAGCGGAGCTCCACTCAAAAGGGGAAGTTCTGCTTTAAGGCTTCATCCCCCATTCCCCATTAAGGATTGGCACCTCTTGGAAGGGTGTGGGGGGGGTGCCCAAATTGAACAGGTACCCGCTCCCAATTCCGTTGTGATCACCGAGATAATCGTAAGTTGTCCTCACCCCCTCCCTCCCCATAGTCTTCTGGGGCATGCGTCAGGTCCCAGAAAACTACAGGATCATTCACAAGGTGCAGTGCTACTCACGCATATGCAGTGGGCGCCCCGCTGTGAACCCACAGGTTGTCACAGCCAAGTGCCTACACTTAAGATGCTGGGGAGCAAGGATGACCGGTGAGATCTGTTGTGGTGGGGACACCGCTGAAATGAGGGACAGGTGAGTGGCTGTTTTTTAAAAGTCATCAGCTACAGTTTTTGTAGCTGCTGACATTTATTTTAGTAGATTTTGACTGGACCTCCGCTTTGAGTAATGACAAAGTTATGCCGAATAAACAGGTCCATAGCAGAAATGTAAAAATTGCTCTGGTCCACAGAGAATAAACAGAATAAACCTGTTTATTCTCTGTGGACCAGAGCAATTTTTACATTTCTGTTATGGACCTGTTTATTCTCTGTGGACCAGAGCAATTTTTACATTTCTGCTATGGACCTGTTTATGAGAGGTGATGTGGTTAAAAAAAATAAAATAAAAGCATCAGTGCTTATTATTTTCTTGTAATTACATGGTCTTCTTATAATGTCACTACACCCAGGACCCTGCATTCACTATATCTGGTCTCCCACAATACATAGAACATGGAAATGCAATTATTTTAGTAAATACAAACTACTAAATAACTTTTCTTATCAGCAGTTAGAGCAGTCATGTGACTTCTATCAGTGTGCAGCCAAGCACTGGTTAAAGCTTGCAGAAGGAGTTTTCATTCTGCTCTAGGAAGATGCAAGACCCCTGACTTCTGTTTGGACAGTGCTGACTGGCCCTGTGCTGATCACATGCACTCTCCCAAGAAAAAAAAAACCTCTCTAGCAATATACACCACAACTGAGCATGTCCAGAGTGACTCCACACGATATGTCTTATCGAGAAAAAAGACGGTCACACTGGAAGAAGGGGAGGATGAGAGAAGACAGGATCAAACCTTTTTACACAATGCAGATTAACCCCTTAGGTTCCACAGTGAGTATAACAAGCATGCTTTACTGCATATACAGACTGATTTTACTGTTGTGGGTTTAGTAACACGTTAACGTTGGCTGGACATTTTAAACTCGGTGGCTCTGTAATCTCCCAATATCTCACTAGATCGGAGGTGGCCGTCCTCTTCTACACAGATCTCAGCCACTCAGAAAACAAAATCTTCTCTGTTCTCCCTCTGAGAAGAAATGTTTTGTGTTATAATCAGGAGGGCAGAAGAGATGATTTTTCTGAGGACTGTAATGAGATCAATTATCTTTGTTTAACCACCTAACAACCACGCTATAGCTAATGACAGCTACATCACGGTTGTCCAGTTCTGGGATGGCATCCTCTCAGAATGCGCCCACAGCTGATCACATGATGAAGTAAAAGGCCAATCACAGCGGCCTTTTACCATGTGATCAGCTGTACCCAATGACAAAGCAGATCACCGAGTAATACAGCTGCCAGTTTTCGGCAGTACTGCTGATAACCGGCAAATGTCACAGAGGACATCTAAACTGATGATCAGTGCCCAGTGGTGCCACCCAAAAGTGCCCATCAGTTGTGCCCAGCAGTGCCACACCAGTCAGTGCCGCTCATCAGTGCTGCATATCAGTGCAGCATCATCAGTGCCTCATCAATGCCCACCAGTGCCACCTCATCAGTGCAGCCTGTCAGTACTGCCTCTCCATGCCACCTCATCATTTCCCATCATTGTTACCTATCCATACCGCCTCATCATTTCAATCATTGTTGCCTATCCAGGCCGCCTCATCATTTCACATCATTGTTGCCTATCCAGGCCGCCTCATCATTTCCCATCGGTGTTGCCTATCCATGCCGCCTCATCATCTCCCATCGGTGTTGCCTATCCATGCCGCCTCATCATTTCCCATCAGTGTTGCCTATCCATGCCACCCATCATCATCTCCCATCAGTGTTGCCTATCCATGCCGCCTCATCATTTCCCATCAGTGTTGCCTATCCATACCACCTCATCATCTCCCATCATCAGTGTTGCCTATTCATACCACCTCATCATTTCCCATCAGTGTTGCCTATCCATACCACCTCATCATTTCCCATCAGTGTTGCCTATTCATACCACCTCATCATTTCCCATCAGTGCTACCTATCAGTGCAGCCTGTCTGTGCTGCCTATCTGTGCAGCCTCATCAATGCACATATTTGAAAGACAAAAATTACCTGTTTGCAGAACTTCATAATAGAAACAGAAAAACTTTTTTCTATCCAATTGCTTTTTTTTTTTTTTTCGTTTTAAAGTGTGAAAAATAAAAAACACCCAGCTGCGATTAAATACCACCAAAGGAAAGCTCTATTTGTGTGGAAAAAAAATGATAACATTTTCATATGGGTACAGTGTTGCATGACCGTGCAATTGTCAAAGTGCGACATCGCTGAAAGGTGAAAATTAGCCTGGGCAGGAAGGGCGTAGAAGACTGATGTGAATGTACAATATATATGTAAAGTGCTGCATAAATTGACGATATACAAGTACCTGAAATAAAAATAAATAATAAGTGCCCAATAGGCAATGGTTAATAAACGTACACCTATATCAGGAAGTGTCAGCCACCCAGGAGGCTGCAGGCTTCCATTGAAATCCCAGGCATGGGCTCCTGGCTGCCATGCTGCTTCCACATTGACTTCAATGCCCTCCAAGGCTTTGACCTGGAAGATGAATAGAGAGGAGGACCGCGGACACTTGTGTGCAGCATAGCTGGGATTCCACGCCACTGAGGACAAACACAGCCAGCTAGTCAGCATTCGCTTCCCTCAGGTTAGACCTCGCCTACACTGTGGGGTCCATCCACTCCTTTACCACACGTGACTAGAGACGGGCAGACACTACAAGTCCCGGCATCCCCTTCGAGCCGACACACCCCCAGGCGCCTGCGCAGCCGGTGAAGTCCTTGATCCAGGGGAGTCCGGGCTGGGAGGAGAGTGTCAGTAACTACGGGAGGAAAATGCAGAGCTGGAGCCGCGTGTGTGCCTGTACTTTGGGCAAGGTAACCCGGCACACCGGGGGAGGAAGAGGGGGAAGGGTGGACATGGGAGATCTATGTAGTGTGAAGGAAACACTTCTCCCGGCATGACAGCCTGGGACACATCCGGGGCCTAGAACTCCGAGCAGTGCCTGGACCTGACCCTGACCTTCATCACTCCTCCCTGGACACCTGTGGAGGGAGACAGTAGCCCTCCCCTCTTCACTGACCATCATCTCATCACATCAATCCTTTTACCTGGGTCATAGGGAGTCTCACTGTCACTGAGCACCACTCTTCCCCCCTCTAAGACCACCATTTTCAGTGTGGGCCATCCATGGGGTGTTGGGGGTCCTGATCCTCAATTATTTCTACCTCTCTGATGAGTAAACACTGACACCACTCCTATCTTTATAGTTATCTGTAGGGGGGCGGGGGTCCTCCCTTTGATCACCAATATAAGGGGAACGTTTCCACTGATCACCATTGTATGGGTCATCTACACAAAATAAAAAAAACATATACTTCTATAGCACTCACAATACATGCTCTGTACAAATCACCAACATTCAGTGACGTAGCAGTAAAATGGCGGTGAGCAAATCCGCAGCTCATGTCTATGTTATATGAATGGCTCACAGAATACACACTTGTGGACCAAAGTGTACAGTAAGTCTGAAATATTGGCCATTGATGGACAAACTATAAGGCCCCTTGTACACGGGCGTCATAATTTACTGATGTTTACTCAGGAACTTACAATGCCTGTGTGCAAGAGGCCAAAAACTAAAGACCTGAGTAATGGGGAGTATAGGTGTGTAAGCATATAGATGCGTATAGACGAGTAAAGGCATGTAGATGAGTATAGACGAGTAAAGGTCTGTAGGCATGTAGATGAGTATAGACGAGTAAAGGTCTGTAGGCATATAGATGAGTGTAGACTAGTAAAGGTCTGTAGGTATATAGATGAGTGTAGACTAGTAAAGGTCTGTAGGTATATAGATGAGTGTAGACTAGTAAAGGTCTGCAGGTATATAGACGAGTAAAGGTCTGCAGGCATGTAGACGAGTACAGACGAGTAAAGGTCTGCAGGCATGTAGACGAGTACAGACGAGTAAAGGTCTGCAGGCATGTAGACGAGTACAGACGAGTAAAGGTCTGCAGGCATGTAGACGAGTACAGACGAGTAAAGGTCTGCAGGCATGTAGACGAGTACAGACGAGTAAAGGTCTGCAGGCATGTAGACGAGTACAGACGAGTAAAGGTCTGCAGGCATGTAGACGAGTACAGACGAGTAAAGGTCTGCAGGCATGTAGACGAGTACAGACGAGTAAAGGTCTGCAGGCATGTAGACGAGTACAGACGAGTAAAGGTCTGCAGGCATGTAGACGAGTACAGACGAGTAAAGGTCTGCAGGCATGTAGACGAGTACAGACGAGTAAAGGTCTGCAGGCATGTAGACGAGTACAGACGAGTAAAGGTCTGCAGGCATGTAGACGAGTACAGACGAGTAAAGGTCTGCAGGCATGTAGACGAGTACAGACGAGTAAAGGTCTGCAGGCATGTAGACGAGTACAGACGAGTAAAGGTCTGCAGGCATGTAGACGAGTACAGACGAGTAAAGGTCTGCAGGCATGTAGACGAGTACAGACGAGTAAAGGTCTGCAGGCATGTAGACGAGTAGTAGACGAGTAAAGGTCTGCAGGCATGTAGACGAGTAAAGGTCTGCAGGCATGTAGACGAGTAAAGGTCTGCAGGCATGTAGACGAGTAAAGGTCTGCAGGCATGTAGACAAGTACAGAGGCATGTAAACATGTAGATGAGTAAAGGTCTGTAGGCATATAGATGAGTGTAGACTAGTAAAGGTCTGCAGGCATGTAGACGAGTAAAGGTCTGCAGGCATGTAGACGAGTAAAGGTCTGCAGGCATGTAGACGAGTAAAGGTCTGCAGGCATGTAGACGAGTAAAGGTCTGCAGGCATGTAGACGAGTAAAGGTCTGCAGGCATGTAGACGAGTAAAGGTCTGCAGGCATGTAGACGAGTAAAGGTCTGCAGGCATGTAGACGAGTAGACGAGTAAAGGTCTGCAGGCATGTAGACGAGTACAGACGAGTAAAGGTCTGCAGGCATGTAGACGAGTAAAGGTCTGCAGGCATGTAGACGAGTAAAGGTCTGCAGGCATGTAGACGAGTAAAGGTCTGCAGGCATGTAGACGAGTAAAGGTCTGCAGGCATGTAGACGAGTAGAAGGTCTGCAGGCATGTAGACGAGTAAAGGTCTGCAGGCATGTAGACGAGTAAAGGTCTGCAGGCATGTAGACGAGTAAAGGTCTGCAGGCATGTAGACGAGTAAAGGTCTGCAGGCATGTAGACGAGTAAAGGTCTGCAGGCATGTAGACGAGTAAAGGTCTGCAGGCATGTAGACGAGTACAGACGAGTAAAGGTCTGCAGGCATGTAGACGAGTACAGACGAGTAAAGGTCTGCAGGCATGTAGACGAGTACAGACGAGTAAAGGTCTGCAGGCATGTAGACGAGTAAAGGTCTGCAGGGTAGACGAGTAAAGGTCTGCAGGCATGTAGACGAGTAAAGGTCTGCAGGCATGTAGACGAGTAAAGGTCTGCAGGCAGCATGTAGACGAGTAAAGGTCTGCAGGCATGTAGACGAGTAAGGTCTGCAGGCATGTAGACGAGTAAAGGTCTGCAGGCATGTAGACGAGTACAGAGGCATGTAAACATGTAGATGAGTAAAGGTCTGTAGGCATATAGATGAGGGTATAGAGACGTGTAAAGGTCTGCAGGCGTGTAGACGAGTAAAGGTCTGCAGGCGTGTAGACGAGTAAAGGTCTGCAGGCGTGTAGACGAGTAAAGGGTCTGCAGGCGTGTAGACGAGTAAAGGTCTGCAGGCGTGTAGACGAGTAAAGGTCTGCAGGCGTGTAGACGAGTAAAGGTCTGCAGGCGTGTAGACGAGTAAAGGTCTGCAGGCGTGTAGACGAGTAAAGGTCTGCAGGCGTGTAGACGAGTATGGTCTGCAGGCGTGTAGACGAGTAAAGGTCTGCAGGCGTGTAGAGACGAGTAAAGGTCTGCAGGCGTGTAGACGAGTAAAGGTCTGCAGGCGTGTAGACGAGTAAAGGTCTGCAGGCGTACGGAAGAGTACAGACGAGCGTAGGTCTGCAGGCGTACGGAGGAGTACAGACGAGCGTAGGTCTGCAGGCGTACGGAGGAGTACAGACGAGCGTAGGTCTGCAGGCGTACGGAGGAGTACAGACGAGCGTAGGTCTGCAGGCGTACGGAGGAGTACAGACGAGCGTAGGTCTGCAGGCGTACGGAGGAGTACAGACGAGCGTAGGTCTGCAGGCGTACGGAGGGAGTACAGACGAGCGTAGGTCTGCAGGCGTACGGAGGAGTACAGACGAGCGTAGGTCTGCAGGCGTACGGAGGAGTAGAGACGAGCAAAGGTGTGCAGGCGTACGGAGGAGTAGAGACGAGCAAAGGTGTGCAGGCGTACGGAGTAGTAGAGACGAGGAAAGGTGTGCAGGCGTACGGAGGAGTACAGACGAGTAAAGGTGTGCAGGCGTACGGAGGAGTACAGACGAGCAAAGGTGTGCAGGCGTACGGAGGAGTACAGACGAGCAAAGGTGTGCAGGCGTACGGAGTAGTAGTAGACGAGGAAAGGTGTGCAGGCGTACGGAGGAGTACAGACGAGCAAAGGTGTGCAGGCGTACGGAGTAGTAGAGACGAGGAAAGGTGTGCAGGCGTACGGAGGAGTACAGACGAGTAAAGGTGTGCAGGCGTACGGAGGAGTACAGACGAGTAAAGGTGTGTAGGCGTACAGACATTGCGTAAGTCCCCGGTCACACAAGTGTAACTTGTCATGCAATTTGATAGTCTCACCCTATTGTCCGCATTGAAAGTGGTCATATCGGTGTGATTGACTCCTTTGGAGTTGCACTGATTTTGAAAGTACTTCATGTACTACTTTTTCCAAGTTCAGGTGTGACTGGCATAGACATCTGTGCATGAAGTCACACAGATGTCTTCCAAGTTGCACCTGAAGTCGGACTGACATCCGACTTTTTAAAATTGTATGAGTTCACTTGAATTCGCATGATTTCAAAGTCGGATTCGGTGTGACCAAAGACTAAGTGTAAGTGTGATATTGTTATTGTCACTCAGCCACAAGGAGTCACATCTGGCTTCCCACAGTAAACATGCTGGCACCAGGGACCCGAAGACGAAGTGAAGAACTGGCCTGGGTGAGGATAGTGCGCTGGATCCCTGGACTGTGTCCTTTTATTAAAAGTCAGCAACTTCAGTATTTTTTTTTTTTTTCGTTCTAGGTGAAGATCATCTTTAACTGGTAACCGTGCTATGACCGAATGACAGCTACAGCACGGTTACCCAGTTCTGGGAGGGTGTCATATGACATCCTCCTAGAACGCACCCCTCCTGCGGACCCCCGGCAATCTCCCTGATCGCTGTGCCCTACAGATACAGCTGATCACGTGATGAAGTAAAAGGCCAATCACAGCGGCCTTTACCACTTGATCAGCTTTGTCCAATGACACAGCAGATCACAGAGTAAATACAGTTGCTGCTGTATCAGCAGCACTTTCAGGAAAGTACTGCTGATAACCAGCAGCTGTCACAGAGGAGATCGGCACTGATGATCAATGCCCTGCAGTGCCACCCACAGGTGCCTACCATCATTGCCCAGCAGGGCCGCCTATCAGTGCAGCATCATCAGTGCCTCCTCAACAATGCCCACCAGTGCCACCTCATCAGTGCAGCCTGTCAGTGCCCATCAGTGCTGCCTATCCATGCCACCTCATCAGTGCCCATTAGTGCTGCCTATCAGTGCAGCCTTGTCAATGCACATCGGTGAAGGAGAAAAATTACCTGTTTGCAAAATTTTATAATAGAAACAAAGAAAATCTTTTTATTTTTTTGTGCAAAAAATAAAACACTCAATGGCGATTAAATATTACCAAAAAAGTTCTATTTGTGTGAATAAAAAAAATGCTAAAAATTTCATATGGGTGCAATGTTGCATGATCGCGCAATTGTCATTCAACGTTCGACAGCGCTGAAAATTGGCCTGGGCACAAAGGAGGTATTTGTGCCCGGTAGGCAAGTAGAACTGTACGCAATTTTTTTTTTTTTTTTTTTCATTTTGGATAGAGTAAGGGAGGCTTATAACCCCTCCCAGAATGTTTTGCCATCTGTGTCCCATCAGGGAGATTTCACTTCCTGTCCCATAGACAAATAGAAAGTGAGAGGAAATCCCTGCAAATTAAGGGAATTTCTTGGATGCCTAAATTACCAGAACCAGTGTCCCCATTGGAAGGTTTCTTTTCTGGGGACAACCCAAAATCTGGGAATTTCTTTTACTTTCAATGATAATGGTGATTAAGACAAATCGAGAGGGTGAATCTCCCTAACGGGGACACAGACTGCAATAACAACCTAATAGATGTTCTAATCCATCTCCAGTCTATCCAAAAGTAAAAAAAAAAAAAGTTTTGCCTTTAGTTATAATGTACTTTAAGGTGACATATCGTTCAGTGTAGAATAGAATTACTTTGTTACACATTGCCAACAGTGTGGGATACATATTTGCATTGAATAAATCCCATGATTTAAAGGAAAGCGGGCCTAAGCCTGAAAGTGTAATGGGAAAATATTGCTGCTGTTTCATAATATATATAGTTGGATATGAATAAAATAATTGCTTTAATTGTCTAATAAAACATTTTTTATTTATTTAAATGTAAGGTTATGTGCAATGAAAGCATTTTACTTTTTCTTTTAATATTTAGAAGGCTCAAATCAGTCATCTCACCCCTGGACTGAAAAGAATCTGTGCTGTGCCACTCCGTACCTATGCAGACCAAGCCTGTAAGTTTTCTGTTTCATTTCTCATTAAAGGTTTGTACAAATGGATTCATATGTGTAGTTTAGCCGTGGTTCACACCGTGGAACCGCATGTGATTCGCACAGGGATCCCACCACATTCCTGTGCAATTCACATGCAATTTTTTGCGGTGCTATTTGAAACCATTCATTTTGTATGGCTCAAATCACACCGCACTGCACGAAAAAGGTGCAGCCACCCTTTTTTTTTTTTCTGCCGCACTAGAATTGGATCTCATGGGTGTTCATACCCATGCGAACCAATTCAGGCAAACGCACTACTTTTGCAGAAAAAATGGCAGTAAGACAAGTGCAGCACTGCCCACAAAAAGTGGTTAATTGAAAATCCATCTGGAGTAATATAACTGTATTAACTAATAGCTACAAAAATATTTTATTTGATCACATGGATCATGAAGAGGTTGGACATGGACACGGTGAACAAATCATAATAAAATTGCAAAATAAACATTCGACGTCTTCAAATCTGGTTATTTATCGGCAAGCAGGAATCCACATAAGGCAATGAAGTTTCCTAACTACATGATCAAAGAATTCCATATGGCTCCACATGGTATCTGGATAGGGAGATCATTCTTCAGAAATATTCTTTGGTAAACATCACAATAAACGGAATGACTTCCTATAATGGAAACCAAAGAGGGATCATAGTAGAGGAAACATAAAAAGAATAATATATGCACTGGTCATGTACTGTAACAAGATAACCAAACTTGGTAGTAAACTAGTAGGTCCATTACCTTCTCATGAGCTTGACCATCATGAAAAAAAAATGAATCTAAGGCCTTCCTGGGTGACCACCCCAAATGGAAATGAATTCACAATAGCAAGTGATTCTAAGAATGTATAAACATAAATCATAAGTATCAAACAAAATACCTGAATAGAATTAATGTAAGGGTAAAAAAATGTATTACCATAAGCAGGATCAAGGAGACTCCACCTCACTTGAAATGAGATCAGGTTTTTGTGTTTCTAATCATGAATATGGGGGTGGAAAGCCGTGTGTGTGTGTGTGTGTGTGTGTGTGTGTGTGTGTGTGTGTGTGTGTGTGTGTGTGTGTGTGTGTGTGTGTGTGTGTGTGTGTGTGTGTGTGTGTGTGTGTGTGTGTGTGTGTGTGTGTGTGTGTGTGTGTGTCCCAAGCTGATTATAGCAGGCAGTATATACCTGAATGTATGTACCCAAATCAGGGTTTCCAAAATTGGCTCTTACTGAGAGATAATGCGGTTCCTTTTGGATATATATGAGACTAATATCACATACCACAGCACGTATGTAGCGTAATATATACGTATACCTCCAATAGGAGTTAAAAAATTCCCCCAAAAGAGGGGCTTATGGGCACATGGTTCCCAATATGCGGAGTATGCTCCCCGTATACAAATAGCAATGAAGACTATCTAAGCCAAACAAGCTAATAACTTGCCACCGGTGGAAGTGAGCTGTGACTCTAAGTCGCCATGTGTGGGCTGCTTAGGATGATAGCCTCATCGTGATCTTAATGCCTCATGCCTTTCCAATATGGAGCTGAAGCAAACTGCTTCTTCCCTCCTCGTGGGCACCGCACCCTATGAAGACGCCGAGCGTAATGATGTCATCACGTTGACGCGTTTCGTCCGCCAATCACCGCAGACTTCGTCAGAACTGGGAGGGGACTTCTCTTCCATTGCCTTATATAGTGCCCTGATTGCATACAAAGTTGTTTGTCGCCCACTTGTGTTGAAAAACTATCATTACATTAAAATCCAAAATCACATAAAAAACATATACTAAATAATGACATTACGAGAAAAGCCTTATTCAAAGGAAAAAATCACCTTAGGAAAGAGGAATATAATTCTTTAGACTCACATGGCACTGTGGGCATATCCTCACCAAGGAGATTTCATTCTTTTATTTAATTCAAAAAGACTTTAAAATTAAGTTCTGTATTTAGTCCATGTGGGACTAACGTACCAAGAGTATATATCCAAAATGTTTCTTTTTGGAGGAGAACTTTGTCAAAGTCGCCCCGTCTAGCTGAGATATTTAACAGGAAGATTCCCTTAACTTTCAAACCATCAATCCTTCCCCCCATGTACCTCCTTAAAATGTTGGGCTAGCGGGTTTTCCTTCTCTCTTTCATTCCTATTCTTGTTCTCATTTTTAATATCTCTCAAATGTTCACCAATCCTAGTTCTAACGGTTCTTTTGGTTTTCCCTATATACTTCTTTTTACATGGACATTCTATCATATAGATTACTTTATTACTAGAACAGTTGATAAAGTTTCTTATTTGAAATACCTGGGATTCATCTGTAATTAAAAACTGATTGGTCTTATGTACATATGGACAGATTTGGCAGTGGCCACACGGAAACATGCCAGTTATACGAGTTTGCCTAGTTAACCAGTTTGTTTGGGGGACTCTTTGAAATTCTGACTGTACTAAAATATCATTCAGATTCTGGGCTCTTTTTGCTACCATATGTGGACTTTTACCTACAATCTGTGCTATTCCTAGGTTTTGAGTTAATAAATGCCAGTGTGAATCCAGAACCCTCTTAACTTCCTCCCATTGTTGTCCAAATTTAGTTATAAACCTTACTGGTTGATTTGAAGATTTATCCCCAGCTTTGAGTTTAGGTTTATTAATTCATCTCTTGTTTTATAAGAGGCTCTTCGTTTGGCCCTTCTCAAAGTTCTGTGTGAATACCCCCTTTCCCTAAACCTTTTATAAAGTTGAATAGATTCAGCTCTATATTGGGCGTCATCAGTACAGTTCCTTTTAATTCTCTGAAATTGGCCAATGGGTATACCCTGTTTTAAACTTTCCGGGTGGTAACTGGTAGCATGTAAAAGTGTATTTGCTGCTGTTTCTTTTCTAAATGTTTTAGTAATTAGTCTATTCTCATACATTGAGATTGAGAGATCCAGGAATGAGATTACTTCACTGTCGGTAGTATATGTTAGTCTAATATTCCTATCATTTTCATTCAAAAATCCAAGAAAGCATTCCAGTTGTCCCATATTCCCATCCCATCAGGACGTCCTCAATGTATCTCAGCCATTTCACCACATGTTGATTAAAGGGAATGGATGGATATACCAAATCTTCTTCCCACAGGCCCAGATGAAGACATGCATAGGCCGGAGCCCAAGGTGCTCCCATGGAAGTACCACATATTTGTTGGTAAAAGGCCCCCAGAAATTGAAAGCAATTATGGGTCAGCATAAATTCCAAGAGGTCCAGGATGAATTCATTCTGAGCCTCCATTTCTGGGAAATGTACCTCCAGAAAAAAAATGCTATAGCTCTCAAACCCCAAGCATGTGGGATTGAGGTATATAATGATTCAACGTCTATACCCACTAAAAGTGCTCCCTCTGGTACCTTAAAATTTCCAATTTTTGCCAATACATCTCCAGTATCCCTTACATATGATCTAAGTTCAGTGACCAGATCTTTAATAAGGTCATCGAATCTTCCTGTTAAATATCTCAGCTAGACGGGGCGACTTTGACAAAGTTCTCCTCCAAAAAGAAAAATTTTGGATATATACTCTTGGTACGTTAGTCCCACATGGACTAAATACAGAACTTAATTTTAAAGTCTTTTTGAATTAAATAAAAGAATGAAATCTCCTTGGTGAGGATATGCCCACATTGCCATCTGAGTCTAAAGAATTATATTCCTCTTTCCTAAGGTGATTTTTTCCTTTGAATAAGGCTTTTCTCGTAATGTCACTATTTAGTATATGTTTTTCTATGTGATTTTGGATTTTAATGTAGTGATAGTTTTTCAGCACAAGAGGGCGACATAAACAACTTTGTATGCAATCGGGGCACTATATAAGGCAATGGAAGAGAAGTCCCCTCCCAGTTCTGACGAAGTTTGCGGTGATTGGCGGACGAAATGCGTCAACGTGATGACATCATTACGCTCGGCGTCTTCATAGGGTGCGGTGCCCACGAGAAGGGAAGAAGCAGTTTGCTTCAGCTCCATATTGGAAAGGCATGAGGCATTAAGATCACGATGAGGCTATCATCCTAAGCAGCCCGCACATGGCGACTTAGAGTCACAGCTCACTTCCACCGGTGGCAAGTTATTAGCTTGTTTGGCTTAGATAGTCTTCATTGCTATTTGTATACGGGGAGCATACTCCGCATATTGGGAACCATGTGCCCATAAGCCCATCTTTTGGGGGAATTTTTGAACTCCTATTGGAGGAATCCGTATATATTACGCTACATACGTGCTGTGGTATGTGATATTAGTCTCATATATATCCAAAAGGAACCACATTATCTCTCAGTAAGAGCAATTTTTGGAAACCCTGATTTGGGTACATACATTCAGGTATATACTGCCTGCTATAATCAGCTTGGACTAATATATATATATATATATATATATATATATATATATATATATATATATATATATATATAGCAGACCACCTGGCTTTCCACCCCCATATTCATGATTAGAAACACAAAGACCTGATCTCATTTCAAGTGGGGTGGAGTCTCCTTGATCCTGCTTATGGTAATACATTTTTTTTTACCCTTACATTTATTCTGTTCAGGTATTTTGTTTGATACTTATGATTTATGTTTATACATTCTTAGAATCACTTGCTATTGTGGATTCATTTCCATTTGGGGTGGTCACCCAGGAAGGCCTTACATTCATTTTTTCATGATGGTCAAGCTCATGAGAAGGTAATGGAACTACTAGTTTACTACTAAGTTTGGTTATCTTGTTACAGTACATGACCAGTGCATATATTATTCTTTTTATGTTTCCTCTACTATGATCCCTCTTTGGTTTCCATTATAGGAAGTCATTCCGTTTATTGTGGTGTTTACCAAAGAATATTTCTGAAGAATGATCTCCCTATCCAGATACCATGTGGAACCATATGGAATTCTTTGATCATGTAGTTAGGAAACTTCATTGCCTTATGTGGATTCCTGCTTGCCGATAAATAACCAGATTTGAAGATGTCGAATGTTTTTTTTAATTTTGTAATTTTATTATGATTTGTTCACCGTGTCCATGTCCAGCCTCTTCATGATCCATGTGATCAAATAAAATATTTTTGTAGCTATTAGTTAATGCAGTTCTATTACTCCGCATGGATTTTCAATTAACCACTTTTTGTGGGCAGTGCTGCACTTGTCTTACTGCCATTTTTTCTATTGAGTATCCTGGGTTTATAAATCCACATTTATATATTATAAGTGAGACGGAGATATTATTATGACACGGATATACGTTCATACTAGGTGGCTCCTTTCTTTTTGTTTGGTGCACTACTTTTGCAACCTGTGTTTGGGGTGGCATTGATGTAACCTTGACACCCGCAGCAGATCGCATAAATACAGTGTGATTGTTATGTGGTGTTTCCCGTATTGCATCAGTGTGAACCGAGGCTTAAAAAGATGCCATAGTTTACATATTTACATAGTTGGTCTGGCTGAAAAAAGACAAAAGTCCATCCAGTTCAACCATAAACAAAAAAAAAAAAGTTATAATCCTATACCCACAGTTGATCCAGAGGAAGGCAAAAAAAAAAAATCCAGCAAAGCATGAGCCAATTTGCTCCTGGAAGGGAAAACATTCCTTCTTGTTCCCCTGAGAGGCAATCGGATATTCCCTGGATCAACTTTACCTATAAATGTTAGTATCCAGTTATATTCTGTGTATCTAAGAAAGAATCCAGGCCTTTTTTAAAGCAATCCACTGAGCTGGCCAGAACCAACTCTTGAGGGAGTCTATTCCACATTTTCACAGCTCTCACTGTGAAGAAACATTTCTGTGTTTGGAGATTAAATTTATTTTCCTCCAGACATAAAGATTGTCCCCTTGTCCTCTGTGATGGCCTCAGGGTGAATAGCTCTACACCGAGTTCACTATATGAACCACTGATGTATTTATACATGTTGATCATATCCCCCCTTAATCTCCTCTTCTCAAGATAGAATACATTCAGTTCCTCTAATCTTTCCTCATAGCTGAGCTCCTCCATGCCTCTTATCAGTTTGGTTGCCCTTCTCTGTACTTTCTCCAGTTCCCCAATGTTCTTTTTGTGAATTGGTGCCCAAAACTGAACTGCATATTCCAGATGAGGTCTTACTAATGATTTGTACAGGGGTAAAATGATATCTCTCTCTGGAGTCTATACTTCTTTTAATACAAGAGAGGATTTTGCTTGCTTTAGAAACCACAGCTTGGCATTGCATGCCATTATTAAGCTTGTGATCTACCAGAACTCCCAGATCCTTCTCCCCCATTGATTCCCCCAGTTGTACTCCCTCTAGTATGTATGAGATGCATGCATATTCTTAGCCCCCAAGTGCAGAACCTTACATTTATCAACATTAAATCTCATTTGCCACATAGTTGCCCAATTAAACAGTGCATTGAGGGCGGCTTGTAAGTTGAAGACATCCTGTAAGGACGTAGCTTGAATCAGACTTATTATGGAAACATAGATAAGTATGCATAAACATGAGTGCTGTGCTATTGGTATACTGTGTGAAACACATCCGGCAATACACTGGAGAAGACTTGTCACAGATTTAGTTGAATCCAGTAAAGATAGGTTTTGTTCACCTCTGTTGAGTAGTACTGGTTGGGATTTACATATGATAGGCTGTAACTCAAACAAAACTCATCTTAAAGCGGAACATTTCCCATAACTTCATAAATATAATGTGCTTTAGCAAGGAACATGCATTCCACATGAATAATTATGCTACCAAAATTAGTGTGTGCTGTATTTCCTCCAGCATTGTTCCTGTTTCTTCTTGGTGGAGCCTGCCATTTTGCTGAAGCCCAGAGCCCTGAGAACAAAGTAAATCTTTAGGCTGTTAGCAGATCGCCCTCTACATTTTTGGCACAGTGCCTAAAAATTAAAAGCAACTGAGCATGTGCAGAGCAGGGTGAGAGTATATTACTGGATTTTAAACAGGCATTTATAATTATTTATTTTTAATGTTTTACATAGCTATGCATGCAAAAGAGGCCAGCGTGAAGTGATCTAGCAAGACTTCATTTTCTGACTAAAGTTTCACTTTAAAAAGTATATAAGTCTCAGTGCATGCATACTCAGGAGAATGGAGCTGCTCTTTTAAGTACATAAATACCTGCCACTATGTAAATGGAGCTGTTGACTTTTAATAAACAGCCACTCATCTGTCCCACGATCCAGTGCTTTGCTCACCCCAGCTGTCTTCACCTCCGTCGTCTGTCTTGACGCTGGCATCTTAACTGGGCACCCAGCTGTGACAGCATGCAGCTCCATAGCTGGGTGTCCACTGTGCATGCGTGAGCCACGCTGTGCATTGACTGGTCCCGCAATCTTCTGGGACGTGTCACGTGTCCCAGGAGACTTCGGGCAGGGAGCGGGGAAGGAGAACTCTGCGTTAAATAACACAGTTAGCAATGTGTGATGGACATCTCTTCTGCTTAACTTAAATCCTAGTAAGTACGGTACCTACACATGCTATTAGCTTGGTTGCAGATCGCCTCAGTAGGATGAAATTCCGGGGGTACTTTATAAGGAAATTGGAACCACAGCTTGCATGGCTGCCACTGCCTGTGGCTTTCTGTTGGCCAAAGGAGGTCTTCCACCACTTTTCTATGCTATAGGAAGGCACTGATGGCTGTAATGGTGGGGGCTACACTGTGACCATGCATACTTTAGTTGGTTACTTTTATAGAATACTTCAATGGTTCAAGTGCTCTGCAAAGAAGACAAAACACATATACTGTACTTTTGCTTTTATGTCATCCATAATAGCACTGCTAACATGTTCACATTCATTTGTTTTTTCAACAAGTATAGAATTTAACTTCTGTGTATTATTCTTTATTACTTGAAGTGGATGCTGATGTCACGGTCATAGGCTCTGGTCCTGGAGGTTATGTTGCTGCTATCAAAGCTGCCCAGCTGGGCTTTCAGGTAAAGTTTGGTTCTAATGCGTACATTGATATTTGAATGCATTGTGCTAAACCTGTGCTTGGCAGAGACTAGTAACAAATTGTTTAAATAATAGGCCTTCTCTGGTGGTTGAGTTTTGCATGCTGTCACCTTTAATTCAAGCATCAGCAATGCATTTTGGTAACTAATTCACGTAAAGCAGATTAATATAGGCATTGTGACAGACAGATGGTAAGTCACTGTGTAAGGGTCCTTTCGAACAAGTCCGTCACTTCATGAAAAGTGATTTAAAAAAAAAAAGACATATAAACTGAATCCTTTTACATCCATTTTTTACATGTTCCTTTTTCTTTTTTTTAGCTGTTGAAGTAAATAGTCATAGGCGGACAGAAGTATAAACATCCGCTCATGGTTCAATCTGGATCCTCCTGAAAAACTGACAGACAGATCCAGACTGAAAGCTCAATGGCCCTAAAACATGCGGATAGTGCCTCTTTCAGGAGTGAAATTGTCCCTGATCCGGTGTGACACTGATTGGAAAGAGATTGGTGTTGCTTACAAAATAGAAAATATGCTAGTCAGTTTTTGTTCCTAGAGCAGCTCGAAGCGCACCAATTGAAAAAAAGGGCATCCAAGAGTTTAAACAAGGTAGTGAGAGGGTAAAAAAACCTTTGAAGAGCTCAGTGGCTCAGGTTAGGCTGCTCACAACATGCAAGGCCTCCCTATTATGGGTACTCCACCAGGTTACCAGGAAAAAGTGTGCATATATGGAAGAAGCGCCAGACCAAAAGATAAGAGTCCAAACTCATTTATTGATGTTGTTAGTGTCTTTTAACCTAACCTCAAATAAATTTGGACTCTTTTATCTTTTGGTCTGGCGCTCCTTCCATATATGCACGCACAAGAAGCGCACATCTAGGCATGTCTGGCCTAAATTAATAGGAAGTCGAACCAGACTGATGTCTGAGAGATATAAATTGTAAAGGGATGGAGAAAGCCCATGTCCCGAACAGTCCCATGTGTCAGCTAAGCAAGTATCCGCCTGCATGTAAGCAGAAAACCGACCCAGTCTAACTGAAAGCAGAACTAAACTCCCTCAATCAGCATGAACTATTTTTCATATTTATACTGCTCAGTTTCTTCCTGGTTTCTTGCCTAGACCAAAATTATGTCATACATCCCAGGAGTCTTCATGGGCATTTTTTTTCTTTCGTGTGGAGGAGGGGCTTTCTCAGCTGAGCATGCTTGAGCTAGGGGCAGATTGATTCCAGGAATTAAATGCTACATGAATCATCTGCACTTACTCAAAATAAAGTATAGAGACATGGATAAATGGGTGAATTTGCTTTATATTGTAAAAATGAATTAAATAGCGTTTTCAGATTGTGGTGCTCAGATTCAGTTCCGCTTGAAGAATCCAGTTAAGCAGAGAATTTGAGACCGCTGTCATAAGGGAGGAATAGATGGAGTTGTGCAACAAAATTGCCAGGAAGCTGAAATCCTTTTGTGTTCATTGATATGCTCAACAACTCCAGCGCAGGCAGAACCATTCGCTACTTTGATGTTTGGATGAATAAAAGTGGACAAAAAGCACTAAAATACATTTTGCTGAGTGGAATGAAGCTAAAATCCATAGCATTTTAATCATTTTAAAGTGGTTCTAAACTCGAAAGGTTTTTTACCTTAATGCATTCTGAGCATTAAGGTAAAAAAACTTTCCACTGCCGGTTTACCCCCCAGCCATCTCTAAAGACATAACTGAGTTCTCTCTCTATCCAGTGCTTTCCCCGCAGGAAGCACAGTTTTCTCTTCCTGCATTCACAGGATAAACTGGTTAGCGGGAGCCATTGGCTTCTACTGCTGACAGTCAAATCCTGTGAGGCAGGAGCGGGGAGCATGGCCAGGCCATGCTGTGTGTGTCTATAGATGCACACAGCCTGGCTTGAGAACGTGCCTGCATATGTGCCCTCTGTGGCTGACTTGCAGAGGGGGCACACGCAGGGAAGGGAGAGTGGGGGTCTCCAGAAGAGGAGGTATGAGACCACTTTGTTCAAAACTGTTGCACAGAGTAGGTAACATGTTTAATATGACATGTTTTTATTTTATGAAAAAAAAATAAAATTTTACAATCATTTTAGAGATGCATGTCAAATTAGTCAATAAATCGTAGACAGCTGAAGTTAATTTTCCTGAAGACACATTTTATGTAACCTCCGCTGCCTATATTTCTGGATATACTGATCATTTGATGCTTGATGTGCACTTTGTACATTTATATGCTGTAACTTAATGAGATATATATTTACATTAAAGACCTGCACAGAATTCGAGAGCTTCATTTGATTATACTTTAGTTTATTCCTCCTTCATTAGGGTTATGTGAGCAGAACTATGACATGGTCCTGCTTGGATGTTGGCACAAATCTAGGGCACCTCCATATTTCATAATGTTCAACTAAGTGTTAATCTAATTTTGGGGCCTACTATAATACTTTATATCCTAGATGTGCTTGAATCACTTCAAATTGATGTGGTTTTAATTGGCAATTTCAAATATTCGTTGTCAATGTTGTCATGTTGTAAGATCTTTGAATGCTGTGAGAATATTTATTATTAATTCTAGTTAAACTGCCATCCTCTGAGACCAGGCAACTTGAGTATTTTTTTGGAATGCCAAAACTGGTCCAACCATATTTCAAATATCACTTTTAATATTTTGGCCATTGCTGCTTTTCTTAGAAGCAATATCAAGCATGTCTAGTACTTGGAGGCGCTTGTTAGGATACAAAAGATTTTGTAGCTTGTTGGAAAATCTTGTTGCAAGCATGCAAGCTTCTTCACCCATGTAGACAGCAAATTAAGAAACCTGTGTAGAGCGCAAATTGAGAGTACTGCAGTGTACTGCTATCACCACTGTGGGGACAATCACTGGTCCTGCAGTGGAGTGCTTGTAGATAAATGGATGTTTTCTCATCTGTTGTTCTTAGGGGTATATCTAGTTTACTTGAGGACAGAGATTTTCCAGTCCTGAAAAGACTAACGCAACCTTTTTTCAGAGTTTGCTTCTCATTAATATTCCCTTTATTTTAGACTGTTTGTGTGGAAAAAAATGATACTCTTGGTGGAACCTGTTTAAATGTTGGCTGCATCCCCTCTAAGGTATGTAAAAAAAAAAAAAACACACACTTCAGCCAAGCAACAGTACATTGAAACACATGTAGCATGTAAGTTGTGTTTTATGGGGGTCCTTCAAAAAATTTCCGCACTTTTATATTTTCGCTGGAAATGGTGGGGGTGGGAGGAGTTGTAATTGGTCGTTTCTGAGAGTGTCATGTGACTAGTCTGTCTGGCATGCTGGCTGACATTGCAGATTAATATAAGAGTTGTCACGTTGTTGTTGAAATTCTTAATAGAATTGAAAAAAAGTGTAGAAACCTTTTGAAGACCCTTCATATTTGCCAAAATATATGTAAAGTAACTGTTGTTTGTCCCCACCACCTTTTCTTCTCTGTTGTATGGCTGCATGGCACAAGGAGGATGACAACAGACTGAGAGCCTGCAGTTCTAAAGAGACTATCCCACAGCTTCTCCTCCTACCCTATGCATCATGAGTAAACACCGCATGATCCTAGATTTCTCTATTTCACCTCTGTGCTTTCTTCTCCCACTCAGCTAATAGCACAGGCATTCCTACTGCAATTTACGCTTTCAGCTGGTGTGATAACTATTATTAAATATGTTTGTATTAAGGGAATATATTCGTGTACTTTTACCTGTCCTTTTACTTCTTCTTTTTTTTTTTTTTTGTGTTGCCCTGCTATTCACTTGACATTGATATCCCACTTTTTTGCAAATTAACTTTAATACTTCAGCAGCACAGTGAGGGCTAAAAGTGTAAAAATCCATTTAATCCAAAGTGACATTCTTAGACCAAGAAAAAGTGCACATTTGATGGATTGTTAAACTTGTGCAGACTTCCAATAAGAAATACTTACAGTCTTCTGACAGATGTGCCCAAGGTTCTGTGCTCAGACCTCTTCTATTCTTTGTCTACACCTCCTCCCTTGATCAGCTGATAGCCTCCCATGGCTTCCAGTACCGTTTCTGTGCTGTAGACACCCAACTCTATTTTTCTCCCCCCCCCGGCTCACCCCAGTCTCTTTGCACATCAGTAATTTACTAACGGACATATCAGTATGAATGTCGCACCACTTTCTCAAAATTAATCTTCAAAAATGAGCTCATAAGCTTTCAGAAATATATCATAGGAGTACCCAGATAACTGACCTGAAGCATATCCCACTAGGTTCTGCCCTATCCTGTATAACTGTTTAAAAATATGTTTTTCTTGATCTCCCATATTTCCATCCATTGTGGGTAAAAAATCACTGTAGCACATATAGCATATGCAGAAGTGTCTTAAAGTATCCAAATGCAAATACAAAAATGTAATAGATTGCAGCGTGCCAGTCCTTAGATGTGGTGGGTAGGGTTAAGAACATTTGGAACAAGTTAATTAAAGTGGAGTACATCTTTAAAGATTGGAACCCCCACTCCCCAGTAAGGATTGGCACCTTTGTGGAGCGGGGGGGTACCCGAATTTGACAGGTACCTGATCCCACTTCCTAGGCGATCAGAAGCGGAAGTTGTCATCCTACCCTCCCTCCCCGAAGTCTTCTGGGACACGTGACAGGTCTCGGTAGATGACGGGGCCATTGAGGAAGCACAGTGCTACTCACACATGCACTGTAGCCACCCAGCTGTGAAGCCGCAAGCTGTCACAGCTGGGTGCCCCCCACTAAAGATGCCGGTGCCTGGAATACAGGACGGCTGGTGAAACGGGCTGCGACGGGTTGGGGCAACGCGGGACTGAGGGACAGGTAAGTAGCTGTTTTTTTAAAAGTCAGCAGCTACAGGTTTTTGTAGCTGCTGACTTTTATTTTTTTTTACAGAGTAAGTGGAACTCCGCTTTAAGTACCAGTAGGGGTCTGCGTTGCCGGCTGTTAAGGGGCAGTGTGATGCACGATCCAGGTACACCACACGGCTCCCTTTTTTTTTTGTTTGTTTTATCATTTTAGGAAATTTATTTGAAGTATACAAAACGTACAATTCATTCACTGCAATGTCTGCGCTGGCCGACATTGCCATGTAGTTGGGACCGGTGAGCTGCAATAAAATGCACTGCAGTGTAAATGGAATACATAGGAAAAAAATGTTTCCTGTATGTCCCTGCAATGGCAGACTTTTTTACCATGCGGTAAAACATCTGTTACCACACAGTGTGAATTGGCACTAAATCTTGCTAGAAATGAAGTGTCTGGTTAATGTTCCTATGAGCTTTTATGTTCCTATGAATGTATAATAATACAATTTAAAGGAGAAACTTTTTTTTTATAGTTTTAGATAGAATGGAGAGAGGCTAGAACAGCTGGTAGGGTTTTATTGTTGTCTGCCTCTTTTTGTCCTGTTTACTGTTATCAACAAAAAGCAAAAAGAAAATCTCAAAATTTGAGTGGTCACCACAACTGCAATAGAGGAGAAAGTTTCCAGTGGAGACACTGGTTCTGGTGACCCTGAGGATAACAAGGGATTCCCTTACTTTTGGATGGATTTCCTTTCACTTTCTGTTTTTGGCTATGGGACAGGCAGTGAAGACAAGTTCTTTCCAGTTGGAGGGCAAACAAAAAAAAAACATACAGGGGCTATAACACTCTCTCAAGAGGAAGACATGTTTGTATATGATTACAACCATGGCTCCTTCCCCAGATACAGTACATCATGTGAACACTATCACTTTAAGATGGGAAGTGTTACTGGCAGGATCACCAGTTGCAAATAAAAGGAAAAAGCCTGAAAAGAGAACTGTAATGTAGACGCCACATCTGAGGAATGGTAGTCAGTGCTCCAGACCTGTATGTAAATCTGCCAACATGTGCAGTTCTATTGTGTAGCACTGTTTTAACTACCTGAGGATTTACCCCCCTTCCTGACCAGGCCATTTTTTGCGATACGGCACTGCGTTACTTTAACTGACAATTGCACGTTTATGCAACGCTGCACCCAAATGAAATTTACATCCTTCTTTTCCCCACAAATAGAGCTTTCTTTCTGTGATATTTGATCACCTGTGTTTTTTTTATTTTTTGCGCTATAAACAAAAAAAGACCAACAATTTTGAGGAAAAAAAAAGTATTTTTTTACTTTTTGCTATTAAACATGTCCAGTAAAAAAGTGTAAAAAATAAAATGTCGTCATAAATTTAGGCCAAATATTATTCTGCTACATGTCTTTGCTAAAAAAAATTATAGCAATACGTGTAAATTAATTGTTTACCTAAAAGTTATAGCATTTACAAATGGTGGCATATATACTGTAATTTTTATTTTGTTTACTAGTAATGGCGGCGATCAGCGACTTATAGCGGGATGGCGGCAGGCATTCTGACACTGGGGGGGACTGACTTGGTGTCACTGACATCCCCAGTGACACCATTACAATGATCAGTGCTAATAGTATTAGATAACAGTGCACTGACATTGCTTACGGGAGAGATCTGTATTGTTTACATACAGGTCTCTCCTCCGTCGAAAATCCTTGGAGATCACCGGCCGGGACTTGGTGATTGACAGCCGAGGCCATGAATGGCAGCATATATATTGCGTACAAGTGCCACCCTGTAACAGTATTTCTGCTATAGAGCGGCGCAAAAGCGGTTAATAACTGTTGTATTTGAAATGAAAACACCCATTTAAGCATTGATGTAGCTCTTATAAATAGACTCTTGAAAATGCCTGAATGGAGTCAAGGTAGTGCAGCTTATGTGGGATAATATGTGATTTCTTTCAACTTAATCATTTCTGGAATACCTTTTGGTTTTCCCCAATGGGATACACAGTGATTTAATATATACCTTGTTTGCTTGCTTTTTACAACATGCTGTAGTCTGTGCATAAATTATACACTTACACATGCTTGTCAGAATACTTTCCTTAGCTGCATTTTCTATTATTTGTGATGTTTTTTTTTAAATGTGGGTTTTTAACCAAAACTTCCACTTACAGGCTTTGCTGAACAACTCTCATCTGTACCATTTAGCTCATGGAAAAGATTTTGCAAGCCGAGGAATTGAAGGTAGATGCTATTGTCTTTGTTGATTAATTTGAAATTGGTTTATCGTGGTTTAGATTGCGTTGTCTGTGAAAATGGGTTTCTTCACCCAAAATGGATAGTTGGCTTCTTAGATTTAATGGTGGGCGGCAGGGGGAAATGATTACATTATCTGACACACCTGGACGTGTGACTGAAATAGACTTGCTGCTCACCTAGCAGTAAAGTATTCTGGGTTTTATTTTTTTCTCATTAGGCTCCGGGATTAAAAGTTTTATACTAGCAACAAAGTTGCTTTAAAGGTTAATTTCACCTTTCATAACATATTAGATGTTACACCTGTATCCAGGGTGTAACATGTTACTAAATCAGCAGCCCCTGCACCCTGCTGATCATGGGTGCAATGCTTTCCAGGCTCATAATAACAAAAAATGCACATTTTTTTTACTTGCAAAAAGATGTGAATTTATTATTATTTATTAAGGAGAACTTGGCCTTTAAACTATTTTAAAGCTGGTATTTGGTCACAGGCATCCAAGCATGTGGTGATGGGTCAACAGCTGTGGGGAGCAGATCATTAACCAGCTTTGCTCAAAAGGCTGAAGATAGGAAAGTAGAATACACTTTAGGTCTGCCATAAAAGATAACTAAATACGAAAACTGTACTGTACATTGCAGTCCTTAAATCTGTGGTTGCATTCGCTTTCTTTTCAGGTTAAGAACATTTTCAGCAAGTAGTAGTAAACTACTAATCATTACCCATGTAATGGAAATGACAGACATGTTTGCCTAGGTGGCAGTCCAAGGCTCCCTTTAGCTACAGTGGAGTGAATGAGCATAGCCACTTGGGGTCAGGGAATGTTTTTTATTTGAAGAGTTACCAAGTAAATATAGAAAGGCAAAAAAAGCCTAGAATAAAACTGTTTGGTTTATGATTTGGATACACTTTAAATGAGTGTTGTGCCTGGTTTAACCATTTGTTTTGTTTTTTTAATTTCCTCTTCATAATAGTGACTGGCATTCGCTTAAATCTAGAGAAGATGATGGAGCAAAAGAGCGGTGCTGTGAAATCTCTTACAACTGGCATTGCTCACCTGTTTAAACAGAACAAGGTCTGATTTTACTGCATGTATGTGAACACAGGTCAATCATTTTGTGCCTTTCCCTGAGACTTCTTTTTTTAAATGTATGTGCTGTTCTTTAGCACATACTTTGTACCTTTTATTTTACTTTCTTGTAAGGCCCCTTTCACATGGAGCTGAATCTGCTTTGCTTAGAAGGGGATCTGTCTGCTGATCCCTGCTGAGCAGAGTAGGTGGATGACAGGTTCGTATCTGCCCAGTTTATGCAGAGGGGACAGGGACACAGCCAGCTCTGCTTTATGGGTGGCTGGGTGTAAACAGACTCCACTGTCCATTTACACCTTACTGCCCTTCGATCTGCCTAGATGGAGGGGGACAGATCCCCTTCCGTTTTCTTCTTAAATGGACACAGCCTGTTTACACTCCGTCGAACCATAGGGATACATGGACCATTTGATCAGGTCCGTCTGAAAAACTGACAGGCGGACCTGATTGGATTGCCCGTGTGTGAGGGGCCCAAGTTGCATGTTTTGCTAATTTTGTATTTTTTAGTGAATTATAGAAATTGCTTGTTTTCGGTCTACAATGATATCGCCTATTACAAGGTTGCCTCGTGTCAGTTAAACCAGCTAACTGCTTATATCTACTGGCTCTACTGGTTTTTCAATTGTTTTATTTAATGAATTTACTGTTATATATTTATTTTATGCCAAGGGCTGACTTGGGTCACCAGGCTACAGCTATAATTAAAATATTATTTTTGACTAGACTAACCTTTTAACTACATGCTACTTCATACAACTGTCTGTGCTAAATACACAGCAAAATAGAAAAAATCGGTTTCTGTTCAGAGCACAATAATAAATAAATAAAAACCTATGGGAATCCATAATTTGAATCCAGCCTTGTATGCGCAATATATCTATGTAATATTGGCAATATGTAATAATTATTGAAATTAATTTCTCTAGGGCCAGTACAACATGTAGGCAAAAAATAGTCTGACTGTTAAGTATCAGTAAAAATTTTATGTTTTGCATCAATTTTTTTTTCTTTAGGTAATGAATGTAGAATGCTTTTCACACAGGTTGTGCATGTCCAAGGCTTTGGAAAGATCACAGGGAAAAACCAAGTAACAGCAACAAAAGCAGATGGAAGCACACAGGTCATCAACTCTAAGAATATCCTCATAGCCACTGGTTCTGAGGTTGCCCCTTTCCCAGGAATTGAGGTAATGTGGTTGAAAGTGCTAGTCCAATGTTGTGTTTTTTGAAGATTTAGATACAGTGGTGGAATGCTTAGAACCCCGTAGATCCATAACGCAGGAATGATTCCATTGTATGGCTCAAGTAGAAAAATCCTAAATTCAATTCCGTGGATTTTTTGGCCATTTTAAACAGGCCATATCAAAAGTCCATAAACTGAAATACTTTGTCATATGAATGCCCCCCAAAATACTTTTTACCTGTGAAAGTATAATTAGAAACTCCTGGCTGTCATTTTCAAAAAGGTATCTCCTAGTCCCTTTTTAAATAAGGGTTCCTTGTCTAATTTATTCAAAAGTAATATGGCATATGGCTGTGTGTTTTGTTATAATTTAGCAAAAGATCAGATTACCTTTTAAAAGGCATTGCTGGAAAAATATAGACATTTCTATAGGGTGCCCAAATTGGGTAGATCTCTCATATCTTTGGGTGAACAAAGACGATTGATTAACTGTTAAAAATTGTGTTTTTATTTCTGCTGCTGTTGCTCTTCCTGTCTTCTTAGCACCTTTCCATTGATGTTAATGTGTGTGTTTGACCATATCTATAGGTTTGAACATTTTTTAGCATTAACTAGTTGTCAGGTTACCCTTAATGTCTGACCTCCTCTTGTGGTGGTGTGTGGGCACAGTGCGCTGAGGAAAAGGGCTGCTTGCTGTACTTTTCATCAGCACAGCACTTTGAGAGGCAATCCACTGCCTCACACTGTGCGACTTTTTTGTATGGCGAAAAATTCGTAAACCGAAACGCCTTTTCCCATAGAAATGCATTGAAAACCAATTAATGCGTTCCAGGGGTCAGAAAAAAAGTAAACACTACTAAAATACCGCATGAGTTATTTTATCAAGTCATGCTGTATTTTAGTAGTGACAATCATGTGTTAGTGTGTCAGCTGTCAGCGGGGTTCCCCACTGATAGCTGAGTGTAAAAGAAAGAATTGCCAGTAATTAAATTATTATTTTAAAAAACGTTGTGGCCCTTCGGGTCTGGTATGGATTTTGAGGGAAAGCCCCACGGCAAAATTAAAAAAAGAAAAATGGCGTGGGGCCTTAAACTGTTATCTGCGCATGCAGCCCGGCGGATCAGGAAAGGGGGGGGGAGCGAGCACCCCCTCCTGAACCATACCAGGCCACATGCCCTCAACATGGGGGGGTGCTTTGGGGGCCCCCCTCCCCCCCCCCCCCCCCAAAGCACCTTGTCCCCAACCACTGGCCAGTGGTTGTGGGGGTCTGTGGGAAGGGGGCTTATCGGAATCTGAGGCCCCCAGATCCCGCCCCCCCTCTCTATGTGAATGAGTATGGGGTACATGGTCCCACTATGCATTCACAAAAAGTGTAGTGTGAAAAAAGACAGGACATGGTCTTTGACAAGTCCTTTATTAAAAGAAAAAACTAAAATAATGTCCCCCACAGTAGATCCAATGTCAATCATGATGTCCTCTGCCGAGCCAGAAAAAGAATTAAAAAAAAAAAAAAGGCTCTGCTCTAGACGCTGGTTTCCGGCCGTCTGCCTGCTCCGCTGGCTTGACAGTGACCTCACCATGTGGCCCCACCTCCTTGTGACATTGACCCAGCATGCCCTGGTTGATGAAACAAAGTTTCCTTTAACTCCAAGGAAAGTGTCAGCTAATTCTGTGAGCTATAGTGAAGAAAAAAAAAAAGCCGGAAATTGCAGTTAAAAATCGGCACCGACATACACTTTGTATTGCGAAAAAAAATCGTAAACAGAGGCATTATTTTCAATGGATTTTCATTCGTAAACCGAAAATTACATTAACCGAGGCGTTCATAAATCGAGGTACACCTGTATTTGAAAGTTTGTATTACATATTTGTTTAAGTATTGTTTAAATCTTTACTGTGCAGCCTTTTAGCCTGTTAATTTAAAACTAGGCATTTATGGTCTCATGTCTGTTAATCTAATTCCAGATAGATGAAGACACGGTCGTTTCATCCACCGGTGCATTATCTCTGAAGAAAGTGCCTGAAACGATGGTGGTTATTGGTGCTGGTGTAATTGGTGTTGAACTGGTAAATCATTCATGTGTTTTTCACTAATTTCTCTAAAAAATATATATTGTGTTTCATGTTAAAGTTTGGACTTGCTAGTATGTATTCATATAGATGGTTAAATGTTTATAAGAGATATACATAGTAAAATTATGACAGGTGAACTAAGAATCTACCATTCATTCTTTATGGAGCCTAAATGTTTTGTAACTAGTTATAAGGGTCAAATATATTTTGGTATAACCCTTTATGGGGTGCATACTCAAAGAATTTAGAAAAAAGTTAAAGCTGACAGCTGAAGGAGCCCAGCTTCCTATCCAAGCTTGCTGCATGTCACCACTATTTTAGGGCCATAGGAGATCTCCACGTTGGGTTTCCAGACAGCCGTGCTTCTCTGATGTTTTAGTTCTTTTTCCATATGTTATTAATAATGCTGACCTTTTTTTCCTCTTGTCAGGGATCTGTGTGGCAGCGGTTGGGAGCAGATGTTACAGCAGTTGAATTCTTGGGCCATGTTGGTGGGATGGGCATTGATATGGAAATATCAAAAAATTTCCAACGCATTCTTCAGAAACAGGGTCTGAAGTTCAAACTGAACACAAAGGTCACTGGTGCAGCCAAGAGGCCAGATGGCAAGATTGATGTTTCGTATGTGTCTTTTCATTGCATAATTGCATGCTTTGTTTACGGGCTGTAGAAATACCAGTTAGGTTATATTGATATAGATGTTTAAATCCAGGCAGAGTAGGAAACTGAAGTATATGGCAAGGCATTGGGTTAGTATTGTAAACCACATACAGGCAGATGTAATGCAAATCTTGGCCAGGAAATCTATGTAGTACATTTCATGCTTTCCCTTTTTAACTTTCCTCTGGACAGAGCCTAAAACATGGCAAGGAGTATGAATAGCGTTCATATTGAGTTTAGGCGATGTTGTGGTCTTATATAAGTCTTGGTTGATTCATAAAATACTTAAAGTGACACCAAACTGGTTTTTAAAAAAATTATATTCATGTATGCATGCTTAACTCAAAAAAAAGTACCTTCTGTTGCTCTCAGCCTCCTCTATCCCCCCAAATTTGTTGCTGCTGTGATTCATCTTTCTGTTAGAGGGTGTCCATATTCAATCTCCTTTGTCCCGATGTATGCATGAATGTAGTCATCCTCTCTTGCGCGTGAAACATTATTGTTCCAAGCAAAGTGAGTTGGAAAGGAAAATGTTACAAAGAGACAGAATTTAATTAAAAATAGATTACATAACCATTAACCACTTGCCAACCATGCTATAGCCGAATGACGGGAGGGCGTCATATGACGTCCTTCCAGAACGCGCCCTCCCCCGTGCACCCCCGGTGATCTCTGTGATCACTGTGTCCTACGGACACAGTTGATCACGTGATGTGGTAAAAGGCCAATCACAGCGGCCTTTTACCACGTGATCAGCTGTGTCCAATGACACAGCAGATCACCGGTAAATGCAGTTGCCGGTTATCAGCTGCACTTTCCTCATGCTGTCACGGCGTGAGGAAAGTACTGCTGATAACCAGCAATTTTCAGAGGACGGATCGGCACCGATCATCAGGGTACTGATGATCAGTGCTGCCCAGCAGTGCCACCCACCTGTGCCCATCATTGTTGCATATCAGTGCCCATGAATGCTGCCTATCAGTGCAGCCTCATCAACGCACATCAGTGAAGGAGAAGAATTGCCTGTCTGCAAAATTTTATAATAGAAACAAAGAAAAACTTTTCTTTTTTTTTTCAAATTTTTTTCTCTTTTTCTGTTTATAGCACAAAAAATAAACACCCAGCGGCGAGTAAATACCACCAAAGAAAGCTCTATTTGTGTGAAAAAAAAATATAAAAATGTAACATGGGTATAGTGTTGCATGACCGCGCAATTGTCATTCAAAGTGCGACAGCGCTGAAAGCTGAAACTTGGCCTGGGCAGGAAGGGGGTATAAGTGCCCGGTAGGCAAGTGGTTAATTAGCGAATGTGCATGGATTATTTTTGGAGAATAAGGACAGAGTATTGTGCTAAAGTGGAACATAAAATACATTTGCAAGATTATCACTGCATGCTGTATAAATTGTATTCTCAAATTGAGTTGTTACCTCATGTAATTTCATTATTTGTTGACAGTATTGAAGCAGCAGCTGGTGGCAAGGCAGAAGTAATTACATGTGATGTTCTACTTGTATGTATTGGCCGTCGTCCCTTTTCCCAAAACCTGGGACTGCAAGAATTTGGAATTGAGCTGGACAACAGGGGCAGAATACCAATCAACAGCAGGTTTCAGACAAAGATCCCAAAGTAAGCACTGCTTGACATAAAACATATCAATAAACAACATTACGTTAAGCCATTCAGCAATTCTGTCTATTGCTGACATTGCTGAGCTCATGCAAATGCAGTTCCTTTGCAACTATAATTGAAAATGGTACCTGTCATTGTTAGATTGGAATTTAGGCAGTATTTCTGCTGTATACCCAGAATTTATTAAAAGAAGTTGACCTGTTACTTGTGAACATCTTTCAAAATTTTTTTTTAATCAAAGCACAGAAGTTTTTTGTGGTTGGTTACCAGGTTTGCACACATCTCAGGAGGGATTTTGGTCCACTCTTCTTTACAGATCTTTTTGAAATCCTTAAGGTTTCTTGGCTGTTGCTTGGCAACTTGAAATTTCAGCTCCCTCCATAAATTTTCTATAGGATTAAGGTCTGAAGACTGCCTAGGCCACTCCTTTGTTGCTTTGGCGGTATGTTTTAGGTCATTGTCATGCTGGAAGACCCATCCACGGCCCATCTTTAGTGTTCTGGCTGAGGGAGGAAGGTTCTCATCCAAAATTTTACAATACATGACCTCGTCCATTGGCCCCTCAATGTGGCAATGTTGGCCTGTACCTTTAGTAGAGAAACAGCCTCAAAGCATAATGTTTCTGCCTCTGTGCTTGACTGTAGGGATGGTGTTCTTTGGGTCATAGTCAGTATTTTTCTTCATCCAAACATGGCAAGTTGAGTAAAATGCCAAAGAGCTCAATTTTCGTCTCATCTGACCACAACACTTTCTCACAGTCCTCTGAATCATTTAGATGTTCAATGGCAAACTTCAGATGGGCCTGCACATGTGCCTTCTTGAGGAGGGGGACCTTGTGGGTGCTGCAGGATTTCAGTCCATGGTGGTGTATTGTGTTACCAATTGTTTGGTGACTACGGTCCCAACTGCCTTAAGCTCATTCACAAGTTCCGCCTTTGCAAATCTGGGCTGATCCCTCACTTTCCTCATGATGATCCTTCCCCATAAATCCATCTTGCATGGAGCTCCAGACCAAGGGTGATTTGATGGTTATTTTGTATTTCTTCTATTTGCGAATAATTGATCCAGTGGTTGTCTACTTCTCACCAAGCTTTTTGCTGATGGTCTTCTAGCCGATTCCAGTCTTGTGCAGGTCGGCAATCTTGTCCCTGATGTCCTTTTGACAGCTCTTTGGTCTTGCCCATGATGGTGAGGTTTGAATGGAAGAAAGTGATTCTGTGGACAGGTGTCTTTTATACACATAACGAGTTGTCGTTAGGAGCACATTCTCAAATTGACAGGACGAATCTGTATACCACATGTGCTAATAACCAGTCTGTGGGAGCCAGAATTATTGTTGGTTGGTAGGGGATCAAATACTTATTTTGCTCACTGAACTGCAACTCAATTTATAACATTTGTAATGTGTTTTGTTTTTTTTCTTGATTTTTTGGTTGATATTCTGTCTCATTTAAAATACACCTATGATAAAAAAAATTATAGACCCTTCATTTCTTTGTAAGTGAGCAAATGTAAAAAATAACGTACAGGGCATTAAATGTGTGTGTGTGTGTGTGTGTGTGTGTGTGGGCTGCGCTTACACTTGTAACAGAACCATCTGAAACCATTTTGATAACTATTTTGTCAAAGGTTGTTTATAATTTTATTTTTTTTTTTGTAGCATTTATGCCATTGGTGACGTAGTGGCTGGGCCAATGTTGGCACACAAAGCAGAAGATGAAGGTATAATTTGTGTGGAGGGAATGGCTGGTGGAGCTGTCCACATTGACTACAACTGTGTGCCATCTGTGATCTACACTCACCCTGAAGTGGCCTGGGTGGGCAAATCAGAAGAACAACTAAAAGAGGAGGTATACATATGGCTCTCTTGTGTTTTAGACATTGAGAAAAACCTGAAAAAATTATGTAAGCTGCTGCTAATATTCTGGTTGTTGGAAATTCCAGTAGATGAATCTGTTCTGTGATGTGTGTGTAATATTTGGTAGGCGTGTCCACATAACACTGTCTTTTTATGAATTATGTAGGGTGTGGAGTATAAAATTGGGAAGTTCCCATTTGCTGCCAACAGCAGAGCTAAGACAAATGCAGACACAGATGGCTTGGTGAAAATTCTGAGTCACAAGTCTACTGACAGAATGCTTGGAGCTCATATCCTGGGAGCAGTAAGTTTATCACCTTATAATTAGAAATGTATAGTAGTGAATACTTTCTTTATTATGGGAAGGACTAAAAGAAAATATACTTTTTAGACTGGTAAATATAAAAAAGGAAAATGGAGTATTTGTTATCCAACCTTCAGTCTGGCCACATTGATCTATCAGTTGACTGACTGGCTTGTGTACAACCAGCCTGACATTTTTTTTTTCCCCCCTAAAGTATCAGTGCCATTGCCTATAGCAACAAAAGCACAGTTGAAGGATTCCCCCATCCACACATTCAGATTAAGTAATAAGAATAAAAAAAAAAACCATGAATCTTGTATGGCCTCCCTTAGTCTCCAGGTTTCAGTGAGGGGACTGTAAAGCAAACTGCCCTGCCGTGTACTCGGGGAACGAGAGAGAGAGATATTCTTCACTGAGCCTCTTAAAACTCTTATTTAAATACAGACAAAAAATTAGGCAGTGGTAGTGATAACTGCTTGCTGTGGCAATGTATCAATCTAGCTACTTCATTCAGGTAAGTTAATTACATTTACAAAGTGCTGTAGAGAGATAGTGGTGAGAACTTGAATACTCCTGTCTTTGGTGCCACTCTATATGATAGAGCTCAACTGAAACTTGTAAGGACAGAAATAATTACAGCCATTGCTATTATTTTGCATGGTCTTGGGCTGTCATCCTAATCCTGACTTCACTGTGTAGTGAATCACTGAACAGAAACAATCATGGTAGTTAGGTGTTTAGACTAAGTATACAGTATACCTAATGGGCAGTGAAGCAGCTTTCATAAATCTGTCCTCACGGGTTCACTTTAAAACATTAGTGGAAAGTGCTGTTGTATTTATCAATTTGTCTGAAGTTCCTGTTTGTTTCAATCTACTTGTGTCTCAACACAAAGCATATTATGGTAAATGTTTGTATATACTGTAAGTTACAGAAAAAAAAATATTCCCCATAGTATTTATCTTTACCATAACCTATTCTGAATCGTCGTTTTTTTTTTCTAACTCACAGGGTGCTGGAGAGATGATTAATGAAGCTGCTCTTGCCATGGAATATGGAGCATCATGTGAGGATGTAGCCAGAGTATGCCATGCCCACCCTGTAAGTACCGTGACCATTCTTTGCTGCTTACATGTTCTTATGTTTTCAGATGCTCATTTCATTTTTGTTCATCTTTCAGACTGTATCAGAAGCCTTCAGGGAAGCAAACTTGGCTGCATCATTTGGAAAAGCCATTAATTTTTAAGTGGAAAGAAGAATGACTGATGTGTGTACATAGTTATCTTATGAGGATCTGCACCAGTCAAAACTCACATTTATTACAGAATTCAGTGGGACTTTTTGTCAAATCCAGCTATTTAACATAGTGTTTGGAATTTGGAATGTGTACAGGACTCCATATGTACTGCAACTGTCTAAATGCAGGCTGATACTCCACCATTTTGTCTGAAATGTTATTTTGGAAGACTTGTCTTTTAACAGAATGTGTGCAAAACAGAAAACTGTAAAGTAGCCATGATATCTGATTTGTCTAAAGAAGATACATTCATACTTCCAGCTAGTGTTTTGTCTTTTTTTTTTTTTTTTTATCTTTTCTTACTTTTAGTGTCATGTTAACTTTTTTCAGTTTCAAACTTAAAGAAAATTGTGTAGAACGAATGTGAGCTGGACTCCTTTTGACCTTAAAAGAGAAGTTCGGGAATGAAAAAAAATCCATACATACTCACCTAGGTGAATGCAGCATCAGTCCCCCTGCGGCCTCGAAGACTGATTTACTAAACTATCAAACACCGCTGATCACTCTGTTCTCAGTCTTCAGCGATTGGTGACGGTCAGTCTCTGGCTCTCTGCTGTGCCCTTCAATTGTTCACTGGAGTGCCGAGCTGTGGAGGGGGCGGGAGTGGCTGGATCAGGCTCTCAATGACTTGCTGAGCCAGCTGCCGGTCAGGAATGTGGATGGATCCTGATTTTAAAGTGGGGATCTCTGCAGAGCCTGGACTGGCTCAGTGATGTTAGCCAACTGTCAGCTGAATACAGGTCACTGGAGTGCAGTACTAAGTGTACTCCTGTGACCCACAGGAGAAGTATAGCCAAAAGGAGCTTTGGCCCTACTTCTCTTTTCAATATTACTGAATACGCAATACAACATTACTTAGGTTACTACAAAGCATACACACAACTGCAATGTTACAGCCATTGTTTTCCTTATAGAATGGCAAAGCCTAGTTGTAAGTAACTACACCACCAGCAAGTCCAGAAATAATATATTTATTCATATACTTTACTAAGATCCACATTAAGGCCGCATGCACAGAGGACGTTTGCCCTGCTCTCCTAAATGCCTTTCATGCTGGTAGCACCGGTTTGGCAAAAAAAAAAACACTTGACGCATGTAAACGCATTACTTCATTTCATCGGCCAGAATATTAATTTAGTCTGGCCATTGAAATGAATTAAAGGATAAATTCACCTTTCTACAAAAAAATAATAAATGCACGTTTGATGTTTTGTGTTTTTGCTTTTGGCAGACAAAAAAAATGTGCATTTATTATTTTTTGTAGTAGGGGCTTGTAAAGCATTGCACATGCGATTAGGTCTCCTGAAGACTCAGTTTATCTGCTTGCTCATGCATCCTGTACAGGTAAGCCAATACTTCTGACAGGATGACTCAATGAACTACAACAGTGACATGGTAGTTCATTGAGAACTACAAGCCGACAGTGCTCTCAGGACTTGTAGTGCATTCATTTACAGAACTCTGTGAATGTATGATGTGGCCGTGTGGGTGGAGCCCCGGATAGGCCACACTGTTTTTAAAAAAATGACCGCTAGTACAGGGAACTTCTCCTTATACTGCTGTCACTGTGAAGGGGAATTGGGTAGCGGCTGCATGATTGAGAACGTTACTCTAAAAAATACACCCTAAAAACGGGTTAAACATGTAAAATGTTCCCAGAGGTGAACTTATCCTTTAACGCTCGAGTGTCTGATATGCCTAGTTTTAAAGATAATGCAAACCCAGCATTTCCTATTCCTTATATGTGCTTGCTGTATCATGTACTTGTACGAAAAAGTGTCCTGTTCTCCTTGTATTGCTTCCTTTGTGTGAAATCCCTAGTGTTTTTGCCAGTCCCTCCTATTAACAACTGACCACACTGGGTATGAGAATATAGTGTGGTCAGTTCTCTAGATGTACTGGAAACTCAGCCTGCTCTTCTCCAATGGTCATACTGCCCCTGTCTCTTACTGGGAAGATCATAGTGCTGCTGTTTCTCCTCCCCTCAGCTCTTATGCAGCTGTGAACAGAAGGAATGTGATCACTTATAAAACTCGGGAAAAAAGGTGCATATAATGTTTTTTTTTTCTTTAATATCCATTCAGAAATGTTTTGCTTTCATTCCTATTTTAAACGAAATAGGTTGTTTTACAATGTGAGGGTTTATAATCACTTTGTGTGTTTACATGCATTAAGTGCTTTTTCTGCCAAAACACTGCTGCTGGATGTGCTGGCAGTGTGGTATTTTCTGCTTCTAAACACCTCTGTGTGCATGAACATGGAAGAGTGTTTAGAGGCAGGAGCAAAAAAAACTGCCAGCCATGCCTAAAATTGAAGTTTGCACTAAATTGTTACATTGTTGCAAAGAAAAACACAAGGCTATGAAATGCACACTCTCCCCTGTATAAGTTGCTTAGAACCCAGCTTTCTTTATGTGCCAAGAAGCTTGTTCTGCAGTGGTGGATCAGTCCTGCTTTACTGGACAGCCAGTGAATGCTGAATTGCTCCAAGTGTGACTTGCTGTCCTGGAAAAAAAAATCACTAAAAATACCGTATTTGCCGGCGTATAAGACGACTTTTTGACCCTTGAAAATCTTCTCAAAAGTCGGGGGTCGTCTTATACGCCGGTACACATGTTAGGGGGGCTGCGGCATTAAGTACAGGGGTTTGCAGGGGCTGACGTCTCTTACCTGGATCCAGTCCCACGGCGATCCGGTCCAGGAAGCGCGGCGTCTCCTTCAGTTCGGCCACTGGATGTTCGTGCGGCTGCGCGGCTCCGCCTCCTCACCGGTGATTGGCCGCCAGAACTGTAGCTCGGGAAAGGCACACAGGCGGCCAATCACCGGCGAGGGGGCGGAGCCGAGCGGCCCCCGCGAAAATTGAGTGCCGGAGCAGCAGGTAAGTGCTCTGTGTAGAGGTGCTGCTGCAACCACATATGCTGGCTGCAGCAGCACCGTACTAGAACAGGGTCAGCAAGTGTCAGTGGGAGGAATAGTGCCCCATCATTGGTGTCACTGATACCAATGATGGGGCACTATTCCTCCCACTGATACCAACGATGGGGCACTATTCCCCCCCCCCACTGACACCAACGATGGGGCACTATTCCCCCCCCCCCTGACACCAACGATGGGGCACTATTCCCCCCCCCCACTGACACCAACGATGGGGCACTATTCCCCCCCCCCACTGACACCAACGATGGGGCACTATTCCCCCCCCCACTGACACCAACGATGGGGCACTATTCCCCCCCCCCCCCCCCCACTAACACCAACGATGGGGCACTATTCCCCCCCCCCACTGACACCAATGATGGGGCACTATTCCACCCCCCACTGACACCAATGATGGGGCACTATTCCACCCCCACTGACACCAATGATGGGACACCATTCCTCCCACTGACACCAATGATGGGGCACTATTCCTGCCACTGATACCAATGATGGGGCACCTATTCCCCCCCACTGATACCAATGATGGGGCACTATTCCTGCCACTGATGCCAATGATGGGGCACCATTCCTGCCACTGATACCAATGAAGGGGCACCTATTCCCCCCACTGATACCAATGATGGGGCACTATTCCTCCCACTGACATCAATGATGGGGCACTATTCCTCCCACTGACACCAATGATGGGGCACTATTCCTCCCACTGATACCAATGATGGGGCACTATTCCTCCCACTGATATCAATGATGGGGCACTATTCCCCCCACTGATATCAATGATGGGGCACTATTCCTCCCACTGACATCAATGATGGGGCACTATTCCTCCCACTGGTGTGCATTGGAAGAGGGGTAGTCTTATACGGCGAGTATAGCCCAAACACTACATTTTAGCAGGAAAAGTAGGGGGGTCGTCTTATACGCCGGCAAATACGGTACTTAGAAAAGGATAAGTTCACTTTTTGGGAACATGTTGCATGTTCCACCCTCTTTTAGGGTGGAACATGTTCCCATAGCTGCAGCCGTGTCTACTACTTAACCTGCAAAAAAAGTGCATTTATTATTTTTGTCCAAAAGGTAAACTTATCCTATAAATTGTGTATTTCACAATAGTTTATCACAGAACACATATCCATGGCTACTTTAGTTATGCTGCCATCTTCAGGAAAATGGAAATGGTCCAAAAAGAGGAAGAAATCTCGTGCCTAGGCATAATCTCTTCCAGTTTACATAAACCTGTGTTTAGTTAGTGTCCTTAGGTGATGGATGTGCCTACAGCTGTATGTCTGAAGTCCTTCAGAGCTGTAGCTACCTACAATGAAAAAAAATTTAAAAACGTATCACGGACAGTACTCAATTGTTTCTGTAGCTACCTACAGTAACTTTTGGTGTCTATTTTAATACAAAATCCGAGTCCACTATGACTTGCAAATCTGCCCTTTGGAAACAGAAAATCCTTGATCATATTAGTGAGTTGCCAATAGATTTTTGGTTTCATGGGAGATTCTTCATCACACAGCTCATTAGTGCCAGTGCTGGCAGATCTAAAGCCTAATGACTAGGACTACATTTGTTGGCTGTTCAAACTTGTTCCAATGATTTCTTAGATCAAGCATCACTTCTGTACTTCTTACACTATGTTTTGACTCATAGCCTAGTATACAGTTGCATTTGCAAAGTCATACTGTAAACACATTCACATGATGTAATACGCACAGCAATGATTTAGATGGCATAAACCTTAGCCCAGGGGCAGGCCCTCCAAGTGTTGGGAAACTACAAGTCTCAAGAGGCATAGCAAGAGTCAGCCAAAGGCATGACACACAGGCAGACACATGATGGGATTTGTGGTTTCACCACAGCTGGCATGCTGTATGTTGCCTACCTATGTCTTAAATAAACAATATAGGGTTAGTCTATTGACCTACCTTTAAAATGATTTGATTCTGCGCTGGAACAGGTTTTATTCCAGCTGTTTACAGTACCACCAGAGGCTTTTTGCCTGATTTA